GGAGATCATGTTGAATAGTGAGGATTGGTAACTGTCGAGTTTCAAGTGCTTGATGATGCTGTTGATGTTGGTGCGAGATTTCTCTAGAGCTGGCAACGTCTTATATAGAACAACATGAGCAAGGGACTCTGTCTTTGAAGACGCAATACAGGCCCGAATCTTCGTTGCAGGTAGGCTTTCCGATCTCACGCTGCACTCTGCCAATGGTCTAGATGCTAGACAGTTGGTGGTCGACCTCCAGGAGTGCCCCGTGTCTGCGCGGAAGTTGAAGTAAGCTTCATATCTGTGCAGGAATTTATCGTTTCTACGCAGGTCAGCACATCAGTGCTTACAAGGTCGTCTTCTTCTAGGCGGTAGGGTGGCTTTTAGGCAGTGACTCTGACTGAACTACGTTTGAGAGTATTCGGGATCGGTGTTGCAATATCAATGACATGATGTCAGAGCCTATCATGATGTCTGCTTTCATAGCTTCGCGTTACACTGTTCTCATCGTGATAAGTCTAATCGGTGACGGAACCATTTCAGGGGGCTTGAAACGGTGAATGGTGACGGACTTCAAATCCGATTTTAACCTCAGAAGAAGGCAGCGATGACAGCGTCCCTGCCCTCGTATCTAGCATGCGCGTAATACTGGCGCAGAGAGGGGATCATATAATCACTTTGGGCATGTCGCGCATGCCGCGGTCCGGCGTGAAGGGGAAGTGGGCGACCCGGAGCTCATCCGAGTTGTACCAGAACAGGGGAGCTTCCCGAGGCCATCCTCCCCTCTCGCCTCTCGTTCTTTGTTAGACGCTTCGGATCTCGAGATTTCTCTCCATATAGTCTTGTGATAGCCAGGTATCGAGAGATGTGATGTGTCGAGTATCTGAAATCATGTTTGAAGTCTGACATCATGCCAGACCCTGTTACGACTTCAGCTCTGACATGCTGCTGCAACTTTCAGCTGCCTATCCCAAAGCATGCCTGACCACCAACTTTAGGCGACGCAATGAGTTCACAATGACGGGGAGCCTATGGGGCGCAGTACGGGACCACCCTTAGTCCAGCTTGCCATTCGAACAGCCCAGTGTTCATGCACTCAGATCTACACACCACTATTACTCGTTGAGAAGATGAAATCTCTGTCGTGCTTCCAGGTACATAGGATGGAATCTGACTCACATGCATATTCTCGGGCCAGGACTGTATATCGGCTTGGCACAGACGGGCCTAGGCTCCGGCATGTCCAAAAAGCCTCGCCGCTAACCGCTTGAACCAGGCCTTCGGTATACGAGAGTGCGAGTCTGTGAGAATAGTTGCGCGCGTAGCGCGGTCGACGCAAGTCTATAATTCCTGGTAATCATGGTGCTGGTGTAGGAGCTCTCAAGGCTTTACGCCGACACGCCGACCAACCTCCTGAGGCCTTACCTACTTGGGTATGTAGCGCCTTGGCGAGGCTGCGCCGCATCCATGGATCCAACTCCAGGGCTTTCTCGGATCCATTCACACGCTGCCTCGACTGGCGTTTACACTCATGCTCATCGCGTCAAGTCATTGTGTGCAATTTATATCGCCTTCTGGTGCGTCGTTGCAGCTCAACAGCGCGACGACGGAACCACGGCTTTGATGTCGTTTCTCCTCCGCGCGGGCGAGGTTCTCAAGGGCCGCATAGGCAGTTACACGATCACCAAGCAAGTCTCACCGACACTTTGGTTTGCGAAGTGAGGCCCGAATATCGCCTTCTATGCCTTGGCCACTGACAACTATGCAAGGGACCAAGGACAAAGAAGAGTGGTGATCAAAGGCGGACCTCCAACGGTGCGAGTAGAACGTGATGCGCTCAAAGTGTTCCAGCATTGCCCTCATATCAGACCAATGGTCGACGAGATGGATGGGCCACCTGCCATGCCTCCGCTTATTGCCTTGCGGTATCTCGACAGTGATGTCCTGACTGCGTCGATTGTAAGGAAGTTGAGCCGAGAGGAGCTCAAATATGTTACTCGGAGGCTGCTGCTAGCTCTGAATACTCTGCACGAGAAAGGCTATGTGCACTCGGGTACGTATGCGCAATCCATTCGTTGAAGCAAGTGGACTGGCCTGACAGGACGACAAGACGTCAAAACCAACAACATCTTCTTCAATTCTCAAGAGGGACCCAATCGCTTCGCTGATGTTCAGCTCGGTGATTTGGGCGACTGCTGCACGGTGGACTCAGAGCGGGCTCGATCTGGAAAGCTTGTGGGTGCGCCTGTGTGGTCTAGTCCAGAGGTTATCCTAGAGATGCCTTGGAACACCGCAACAGATATATGGTCGTTTGGTACCGTGGTATGTCTTGAGATTCGGCTGGAAATAGTCATAGAGCACACTTTGACTGTCCGCTCACTAGGTCATCAGTCTCATCTACGGCGGAGATAGGAATTTGTTCCAGCCGCAAGATGTAAAGCGCGGCGAACAAGGGTACCTGTTAGGTGTCCTCGAGCGACAGTTCCGCTATTTTGGACCCTTTCTTCCACCATTTATAGAAATGGGTGACGGAGGGATCGCCCAAGTCATACAGTATTTGATGGAAACGATCCCGTATGATGAACTAACTCCGTTCGCGTCTGTCACGGAAGGACAAGTGGCGAAGAAGGACAGGAATTTCATGTCGAAGATCATGCAGCTTGACTGGAGAGATCGACCTACGGCCAAAGAACTTTTGGAGGATGAGTGGTGGCAAGACGACTGAGATAGCTTTGGTTTAAAGCGCACTGGTATCACCATCTGTACGATGTGTATTATGTGGTGTACTATACACTATACTGATGGTAGAAATACTAGATATTTCCACTCAACGATTGCGACCCCACTCAGGTTTCACCCTCAAGACTCCGATTTCGTGAAAGAGGGCTACAGAAAAGCACCACCTCGCTTGCTAGCGCTCTGCTTAGCTCCATCGATACATCAAGACCATTGCATCGCTACAGGTAAATTTGGCGTTCCATTCACGTCTCTACCTATCGCCATCAACCATGGACATCACTGGGCTCGATCGCGCTACCGGTAGACTGGTCATCCAGATCAGACTAGACGAGATTACAGAGGCGCTCGAAGGCATCCAACTGGACGACAACGGTACTGCCAGCTATCGCGCTATTCGTCACACGCTTCAAGATCAACTATCCATCATCTATGGGCAGGTATGCTGTTCGCCTACGATTAGCCGGATACTTCGCGAGTTTGCGATAATATCCCACTAGGTTGGATGCATTAAAATACTAACATATCAGCAGGATACTGACGACGAAAGCGACAACGGCGACGAAGCAAGACGTACGCCATCGAGATCAAGCAGCGACACCTCCGCGAACAACTCCGATGATGAAGGCGTCGTAGCGGAGGAAGCGAGTCCCACACCAGAACTCATTGAGGCGCCGGAGTCAGAACCGGAGTCAGAGTCAGAACCTGAGCTGGTACCAGAGGCTACTGCCGATTGCGGTGCTTGCGGTGATACAAAGCCCGAGAAGGACACCACCAAGCTTCAATGCTCCCATCTCTACTGCAAAGACTGTATTATAGATCTGTTCCACTTCGCTGTCCACAAAGATACCTCACTCTTCCCGCCTCGATGCTGCAAAGCCACCATCCCACTCGACACGAACGAAAACGGGGTAAAGGGCTGCAGTATTCTACTGCCTGCAGAGCTATTGATCGAGGTCAATGAGAAGAAGGCGGAGCAGGAGAAGGCTCAAGAAACTCCATGTTCTGGTGCGGATTGCGATCATGTTATCCCGAAAGAAAACATCAGTGGCGGTGTTGCGACATGCGATCTTTGCGACACCAAGACGTGTACGGTATGCAAGAACGAAGCGCATGAAGGATTGTGTGCTGAGGATGATGACACTAAGCTATTGATGGCGACAGCTGGAAAGGTCATGTGGCAACAGTGCACCAAGTGCAAGAATCTGGTCGAGCTAGACACTGGCTGTTTCCATATCATGTAAGTGCAGCGCGCGAAATACTCACAGTTAAACTTGCTAACTTCTCTAGTTGTCGCTGCAGTCATCAGTTCTGCTACATGTGCGGCGCCACATGGAAGACATGTATGTGTCCGCAGTTCGACGAGGGTCATCTTCTGAGGCCGACTCCTACCGATGGTCTAGACATGGCACCGACCGTCTGCCAGCACGTTTGGAAACAACATGACGGTACCGCATGTGCGCGATGTGAACGTACCGATCTCTTGTCCGTCATGCAATGCACTCGCTGCCTCCTTGAGCAGTGTAGTCGTTGCGTGAACAACAGATAACGGTCTGGATCTCATTTCAGAATGGAGGAAACTGTTCTTACAGTGGATGCAGAGTTGATATGATTAGAGCGGTTTTGGTTTATTCCTGGCTCGATAGCACGGCGGAAATGTAAGGGCTCAGGGCTGATCAATCCATACATGCCCGGGTGGCGGTCTGCGTCATTGATGCTAAATACCTGGGTCATCTTCTATTTCCCGACCCTCTTCACCGAGATCAGAAACTTGAAATACGCGAGTAAATGTACACACGAATAATCTTATTGTTGCTTTCGTTACGGTTGTTCCTGCAAGTTGCCCAACTTGTCGTTAGTGCCTTGGCGATCGACATGACCGCAGGAGTCCAAGGACTGCGCCGCACATAATCTTGTGTGCCATGTGTTCTTCATCCGCGAAAATACAACCCAAGATGAGACGATAAAGCTGTACCTATATACAGACTAGTACCGATAACCAAGGGTTCTCGCGTCGAATACACCATGTCGTCTCTCTTCCGGGTCGGGCAAGTTCTCAAGGGTAGCATCGGGATGTATACAATCACCCAAGAGCTCAAAGAAGTTGTCTGGCTCGCCAAGTCTGTGCTATGGTGACAATAGAAACATATACACCTCTAACGGCCCCCAGAACTCAAGCGCAAAAGCTGGCGGTGATCAAGGCCCAGCAGGGTCACCATGGGGTTACGAACGAGCGAAACGTTCTCAAGAAACTTCAACATCGCAGCCCCTACATTAGACCAATGATCGAAGAGATCCAGGGCCCAGATCTCCCCGTCACAATCGCTTTGGAGTATCTTGACACCACCATTTCAGAGGCGTCCGCGGAAAAGGCCTTGAATCGGAAGGAGTTGAAGCACGTTTCGCGCAGCGTCCTAGAGGCCCTACGAAACCTCCATGATGACGGCTATGTACACGCGGGTATTCATTGTCTGCCGCTAGTAACCTAATATTGGAGCTGATTATACTCGAAGATCTCAAACCGGACAACGTCTACGTCAACATGCAGGTAGGCGACAATCGATTCAGCGAGGTCAAACTTGGCGATATGGGTAATTGCTCTCATGTCACCAGTGCGGCTGCCACTTCTGGGACTCCTTGTGGCGCACCAACATGGGTAAGCCCAGAAATTATTCTGCAACTACCGTGGAATACAGCTGCAGATATCTGGGCGTTTGGACTACTGGTAAGACACTCCATATGATACGTTTCGGTCTCATCTCCAATAGATCCGACGTTGCTGGGCTAACGACTCCCGTGATTAGTTTGTGCACATGCACTACGGCTCTCACTTCAACCTATGCGTACCTCAAGGCTCAAAAGCCGAGGAGGACAGAGAAAACCTCCCCTTGCATGTTCTTATGCGACAGTTATACTGGTTCGGGCCGTTTCCAGACAAGACCGTCGAAATAGCTGATGAAGAGATTACTAAGACCCTAGCGGCTCTAAAGAGAAACAATTTACCAGCGCAGCAGGGAATGTTCAAAACTATCCCAGAGACAGAGCTGTCAAAGAAGGATAACGAGTTTGTCCGTAGGATAATGAAGATGGACTGGAGGGATAGACCGAGTGCGGGAGACTTGTTGGAAGATGAATGGTGGGAAGACGAATGAGGCGGGGCTGATGGCATACCGTGGACGGCAGTGGCGTTCGCATTTTGGATGTAATACGCCAACGGGGTCATGATGGATGTATAACACTTTGAATGTACCATAGCTTACTTCACTCAACACAAAGCGCCCTCCGGGCTTGCTCGCCTCCTCCACACAATCACAATTGTCTTTACCAGGCAATCAACAGCGTCATAAATACTTCCCTTCCCGAGATCTTGTCGTCACTTATCACAACACTACCAGCCAGCTTCTCCAACCGCTACAAGCACTTCGAGAGTTAACAACGCGATGTCTTACCCACCAAACAGCCCCGAGATCGTTAGTCGCAAACCCCAACATGGCATCAGGACCGCGAGCGAGCTCGGCGCTTTATCACCTCACTCACGCTCATATTCTCCGATGGACGTTCACACGATCATCTGCGCGGAGGACGACTGCAAAAACAAGGTCGATGTCGTACCACATGGACACCACGCTGGGCCGGCCAGTAAGGACAGTGCGATATATATCAAGGCTAGGTGCAAGGAGTGTGAGCCGCCAGTGACTGTAGCGAGTTGGTGGGAAGGATACGAAAAGAGCGAGGAAGGCAGTGATGATTGGAATGAGGAACTAGGTGATTGGGTCGATGAGTTCTGAGAGGACGAGAGAGAACGATGGCTGGGACGATGGTAGAGGCAGCCGCACGACGTCTCAAAAAAGATATTCGATGCAATCAGTAGAGATATGGGGGCTTAGAGGTTGGATTGGATTAATACACATCTGTATCTACCATGTATTCCAAAGTCACTTTATTTTGACCTCTATCTGCCCGGTAATTGATACCCTGAGGAAGAGCAGGAAGAAGGAACGTGCTAAAACACCTGAGTACCTGCGCAGGCTTCTCTTCACCGCTTACATGTCGTGGTCGCCTAATAAGATGCTGTTAGTCTCTTTTACGCGCCATTATACAGCCAGTGAAAAGATCGTGTCTGTAAATCCGAGGTGAAGGCAAAGGCTGCATTCAGCGATCTTCTAGCGGGTGCGGGTGCGCCCTCGAAGCAGCTCAGCCTCCTCCGCAGTGACGGTCATGAGACCTGAGCCCTTCTCATCCATTTTCTTCTTCAGAGACTCAGCAGCAAGTCGCTCTTTAGCAATGCGCGCGTGCTTCTCAGCCTGATTATACTCCCAACGCTGACGGCGCTCTTTCTCTCGCTCTTGCTCTCGGCCCTCAACCTGCCTCTTTGCCATTCCAGCAAAGAATATATCAGCGGACTCCATAGCTTTCCTCAACCGAGTGTGCTTCTCCAAGAATGCCGCAAAGTCTTCAGGGTCGGGTATAAGGCGTTTGTAGCGGTCGTGGCAAAGGTGGTTGACCATCGCGGTCCAGAGTGGGTCTTTGTCAGACGTGGCGTTCTGTTCGACGGCAATGATCTCTTCATAGCTCGGAAGCTGGGTCTTGAGGTACTCGACATAGCCGGCGTGGATGTGGCTACAGTAGCGCTCCATACCTAACAGGCGAGCAGCGCGAAGGAGGGACACGTCTTCACCGAAGGTCTTCTGAGCCGGGACAGCGTAGGCCTCGAACTCGTTGCAAGTCTCCTGCATCCAGCCGATGAGTAGAAGGCGCACTGCGCCAGGGTGTATCTGACCACGTGAGAATACATACTCATGTGAGTGGGGATTAGCGGCAAAGTGTTTGTGGAGGACAGTAGAAGCAGCCATTGCTGCGCGCTTGGAGATGCCCTCAACGGATGTATCTCCAATATGAATGGTGATGCGAGGACCTTGGAGAAGAGCTTGGCGCTGCGCTCGTATCATCTCGAGCAGGTTGTCGATAGACTGGTCTATGACGGGTGAAGAAGGCGACTGAGCTGACTGCTTTACTGCAGTCTTTGGCTGGGGCGGGACATCGGCAACCTCGGAGACGGGAGAGAACGACGGAGTAGTCGGCTTGTGGTCGGATCCAGGATTGGTAGCGGGCTGAAGGTTGATCTTGGTAGGAAGTGGCTCTTTGGGCAAAGAGGCAGTCGCAGAGCCGTCAGTGTCGGCGATGCTGACTGCCTTGACGGTCAAGTCTTCATCTTCATCAGGTATGACTTTCTTGGTAGTATCAGCAGACTCGGGGGAACCAGCCTGCTCAGTAGAGGAGGCGGTGGTGTTTACGTCCTTGAGGAGTGCCGCCTTCTTAGCAGCCCTGTTGCGACGAGTGCGCGCAGACTTGGACATGGATTGGCCTTGAACAGCTGGAGATGGCTCACTACATGTGGAGTCAGTACATGGAGTTATTTCATTGGTGATTGAGACGTACGATAGTTCTGCAGCTAAGTGACTGCTTGCAATGTCCGTGGTCGCCATCGCAAATACGATGATGATGCGGCGCAGACAGAGCGATTTGACGTGGAACCGCGTCTGTTGGTGGGAGAAGAGGAAAGACTTGTTCTTACGAAGGAGTAGATTTGGGACAGAGTCCAGTACTTTTAGGCAGCGAGCTCGAGGCGCGGTTTATTTACATGCAAACGGACGGGACCCAGTGCACGTGACTACCTAGGTAGGCAGGGACCCGAGCGCAGAACGGTCGCACAACGCGAGGAAGCCGGATTAAATGAGGAAAGAGCAATGTGGGGTGGTCCTAATCGGGGCTCTAGAAAATCATGAATATCGCCCTCATCGGACTACTCGTGCCCGTTTTCATACTCCTGGCTCTTTCTAGTTATGCTGATGTAGCATCTCATCGCAGCTTTCTTACGCATTTGGAGAAGGCCATCGCGACTGCTGAACCATGTGCCTAAACCGCTATAACTCTTTCTGGATTGCACCTTGTCAATGATCTAAAGGACTCGTCACTTGATTGAAAGTAAATATATTTGTGGCAATATGCGGCTCGTAGCCAAACGTCATGTTCAATCAGACGGCGGAAGACTCTTGTGGAACGCGTATGAGAACAATGAGTATGTGCACACGATGAACGACTGACTATTCAATGACGACTGGAGTTCGCAACAGAGTGTTGAAGTGGAAGAGCTGTCGCGCGTGTCGGACGCGTGCCCGCTCGGCACAGCAGCGCCAGCCGAACTTGCTCCGGATGACGCGATTCCTGAGCAACACCCGTGGACTGTTTGCTCTCCACCATCAGCACCGCCGTCATAGTCGCAACAGGCCCTAGCCGACACCATTACGTGCAGAAGGCTCAAGCGATCTATCTCAGCTTATGCTTCCAAGTACTTCGCTTCCTCTCAGCGCATCCGACGCGTCAGACATCAGAATGGCGTCTGGCCGCTCGCCAACAGTCGCCCACGGAGACTGACGACCACATTCACTGAGCCCTCACCAGCCTCAACTCATGCGCCTAAACAGAATATAGGAACCCTTTTCAAAGTTGCCACGTTTCAGCAACCGGTACAACCGCCATCTTCGCTCTACGCCGCAGCCCGATCGTCTCTTCAGACAGCCTCGCATCCTCCCAAGAGCCACAAGCTGGTACCGACAAGAACCTCTAGAACACCAACATGCACACTGCGGCTACCACCGAACACTCGCGCATACCAACACTACTGTAGAAGTACGGCTGTTGTCGAGGTAGACAAAAGGGTCCAGCCGGTCACAGAGATTTACATGCAATTGAAGGGAGCATAGTCTCAAGCTCGCTTGGCTGCCGGCCACACAACACATCGTAATCCTCGAGGATACGGTGTCGTCTGTGACTGAGGAACATAGCCGTAGCCCACCACCAGTATCGCACAGACGGACACTTGATAGCCTCGCCGCTACCTCATCCCCCGACAATGCCCACCCATTGTTCTGTTAGATCTTTACAAGGGTTTTCGAATGGCTGTGATGTCACGTCGTGGGTTGTGCGTTGTGCGATGTATCAGGATATCACAATGGCCCTTTCGCTTGCTCGACTCCACTCGCTAATACACTCGCCCTATATTCTGGCTGGAAGACTGTACAACAAGTGCACTTGAGTAGAGCGACATTATCGTAGCTTATCGATCGCCATCATGCCGGACCCTGTACTGATCACTCTCCCAACTACGCCAACTTGGTCGCCTGTGATACGGCGCGACGCACCAAATGTCCGCGCTAACTCAATCATTGGCCAAGAGCAAGAGCGCAATCGTATTATCACGGAAGCGATTGGCCTCCCTGAACGTGGATCTTTAAAGCGCATCGCTGAACACTCGGTAAACGTCCTTGATTTGGATACCAAAGACCGCAAGGTACTCCTCGAGGGACCAACCGTGGATCTCATTGCCCGTGGTATCGTCATCCGGAAAGACGTAGCTCTTCGTGCATTGATAGCTTCATGCCAAAAGGCCAATGATGCCGTTCAGATCACGCCCCAAATCACACGATTCCACATACATGGTCACGCCGATGAAAGAAGTATCAAACGCTTGCTTGACGTATTCACTACATCCAAGCTTCTTGGCCTTGATCGCGTTGACCTTGTGTCCGGTAATCTTCGTAACGATATACTAACATACCAAGCGTGTTTAGTTCTCGGCATCCACTACACTCACTCTGCACCTCTCCTCGGCACCCTTTGCGCGCTCGTATCATCTCGACTTCTCAGTATTAGCGAGCTCGAGATGTTGGTACGTCGCTTCCCTCCCACAAACCCTTTAATGAAGCATACTGCCAAAGACCTCTGCCGCAGAAGGTTCAAGAAGCAGATACCCAACATTGCTGAATTCAAAAACTGGCTGAACAAGGAAAGCCAAGAAGGACTGAAAAAGACCATGGCGGCATGCGACAAAGTACACAAGATGACAAGGCAAGCAATCACTCGGAGAAAGTGCGACTGGAGGAAGGACGCTGTGCTACGTCTGTGGGGCGAGGATGTAGATGGGGTTTGTGTTGAGGAAGAGGCCGAAGACGACATGGAACCGGACAAGATCAAACGACGAGACTCAAAGTTACTGGAGTAGAGCTTTCAGAACTATCATGAGCGACTGCTGGGCCTGGTTAACGGGCATATAATGTATGGTTAAGTTCAGTAGTGATTGACGATGTTTCGATTCTTGCGTAATCTGAACAAGCGATGAACGGACTTCGTTCTTTGCGAGGATACTGTATTGCTAAGTTCCAAGACCCAACACCTTCGAAAGAAGGACTCCAATCCGGTACCAGGCGAGCTAACCTATTCTATGCCACCGAGGCCACTCAAGAGCCGTGACCTTCATTTGAACTCTCAGAAGCTTCATTGGTTGACACCGGTGCTGCGAATGGGGTATCAACACTCATCAATAACTGCCGCTTCAACTCCCAGCCCCTGCTGTCGCCGTATACACAGAATTTGATACCACGTTGAGATGCTGCAACCACCGCATCGTGTAGGCGTTCGATCATTTCCGATCGTAAGTCACGGAGTGATGCAGGTTCACCTTCGCTTACCCATCCAGAAGTTGGCGTTACGGCCAGATTGAAGCTTTCAAGAGTAAGCACTGTCGCCGGACTTACTATGAGCCGCCATAAACTAGACCTGGATGGGGAGTCCAGTGGCCCTGTGTCCTCTGATCGCAAACGAAGGTCTTCGAGTGGCACTGTCATGGCATCGGTTACTTCTAAGTGTCTGATGCTAGGGGGCAAGAAGGATACACGGCTGTCTTGTGTCATTTGGCGTAGGTATCGGGAAAGTAAGGTGAAGTCGATGTGCAGGGTATGCAGCTCTTGAAGAGCGTAGAGCGAATCGAGGATGCAGTTCGTTGGCATTGAATCGTCGTCGGGACGAACGCAGCGAAAGGTTTTTAGACATGGTAGGTGTTTCCGTAAGAGATTTGACATGACTGGGATTGCTTGCCCTGGCTGTATTACATCGCATATGTGGTCGAGGCTGAGATATTCCAGTCTTGAGGCACAAGGGTGCGAAAGTAACGACTCAAAGGCACTGGGCGTGATGTGAACATTGAGCAGCTCCAATTTTCGAAGGGCCATCTGCGGAGTGGATATCATCCTGATATTGAGCACGTCGCAGGCCCACATGCTCAGCTTTTGGACTGCGCTGGGTAGCCCGAAACTGAAGGTGTCCCCTCTCGCCTCGAAACCATAGACATCAAGCTCCGCAAGCTTCGGACATATAGGTGGTTGTCTATAATGGTCCCAATCGTGTAGGGAAATAACCTGTAGTGTGATATCGAGAGATCCTGGTGCGATAGATCCCAGATGCGCCTCCTGTACATTTGGACTGAGGGCGAATATTAGAGCTAAAACTCCATCCAAGCTGGGATCTTCAGGATCGGCATCGTCTGTTCGCTTGAAGACGTCCGCCAACCACACTTTGGCCAGTCTATCGCTCTTTAGACCAAGGCTGTCGATCGTCTTTGTGACACTCGAAATGTATTGTTGCAGCATATGCGTAGTATGGCTGAGCTCGGTATGTTCTGATACGATTGATGTGCAAGCGTGGCAAGGTTTGGTGTACTCTTTGGTATCTTTCGCAAGCAATGTGATGCGCGAGATGTGGCGTGCGAGCTCCGGCCGGTCGAGCAGAGTGATCATCAGGCGCTTCGCACGAATTTCAGCTTTGTCGCAAAAGCCGATGTCACGGTACAGGATAGGTTCCACTACGTGATGGTAGTATCGAGACACGCGCGATAGAGCGCAGAGAGCCTTTCGAGATTTGCCGTCGGAGAGATGATTGGCTATCATAGTATCAAGCTCTGTCGAGAGAGCAGTGAGAGACATCGTTGTTGCCCCAGATGAAAAGTTAGAAGGACTGTCCTTGATGCGTGGCTGAGTAGCTGGTATGCGTGCTTCGTCTATGTATTCAGCGTAAAATCTACCACTAGACGGTGCGTCTGTATATGCATGGCTGGGCGGTCTGGACTTTAACAGTAATGCGCAAACCATATGCACGGCGTGACTTGCTCAGCTAATGAGAAACTTGGTCATGTATCGGTCTCATGTGCCTACTCAGGGTAAACCATCTTTCTCCCGACACCGCCGTCTACAACAACCTCCTGACCAGTGACAAACTCGTTGCCTATGAGGTACTCCACCGCTTTCGCAATATCCTCCACTTTACCTACTCTGCCAGCAGGATGCCAGTCGACGTCGGCCTTTGAAAGACCCTCTTCCCACTTGGTTTGACCTTCATCACCAGCTTTACTTTCATTGGCGACGTGAATCCATCCGGGAATGATCGCATTCACCCTGATCTTGTGACGATGGCCTAGCGATACTGACATGGACTGCGTCAACCCCAACAGTCCAGCTTTGACTGATGAGTAGGCTTCGTGATCATTTTCTGATTGGTATGCGCGCGTTGATGACATGTTGATGATGGTACCAGGAGAATTCGGAGTAGAACTTCCTGCTGCGAGAAGCGGAACGCATAGCCGGCTGAGCATGAACGGTGCAGTGAGACCGATCGCAACCTTCAAGTCCCACTCTTTTTCCATGTCTTCTCCTTCAGCTTCCATGCTGCGATCGTCCGATATTGATAGGTCTGTCGGGAAAGCATTGTTGATCAAAATGTCGAGCTTGCCATCAAATTTCCGCTTGACTTCTTCGACAGCAGTCTTCAACTCCGTTCGCTTGCTGAGGTCACACTCAAGCGCAGACCAGCTTTGCTTTCGCCCGTTTGACCATTCTTCAGCTCGAGTTCTGACATGCTCTAGCTCTTCCTTATTGGAATCCAGGATGACGACGTCATGTCCAGATGTCAGCAGCTGTCTGAACAACCCGCGCCCGATACCCCTGGCACCACCTGTCAGGAGGACTTTGAGATGCTGCGGAGCTGCGCTCATTGTCATTGGCCAGTACTAGCAGACTAGGATGAAGGGTAGATGTCGTGAGCACGGAAGTTCTGCTAATGGTCGGTGTCTTTAATTTACTTTCATTAATGGGCTACCGTAGGTTCGCGGAGCCATGACGTCATGACCAAATCTTCCCGCGCGAAAATTCCGCGCTCATCTCTTCTGGCGCCTACAGCCCGTTGCTATTGCGAATTTATCCTCGGAAATTAACGATCGGCAAGAGAGGAAGAATGGGGTATTCTCGAGAAGCCCGGTGGGAAGCAGGATTGTAACTTCGGCGATATTGTGGAGTTCAGCATATCGGTTTTCTAAGAAGAATGGACGCTGGGCCGCCTTTGAACGCGTCTTCTCCAGTGACTGCCCAGGTCCACGGATGCGTCCTGTCGAGATACTTGACCTGCGCAAATGCGAAAGAGATGCGAACCACCCTACCAGCTAGGCAACGAAGACCCTGTCACGCGGCATTCATCAAACTGCGAGGTGTGAAATCACGTGATACAACCATTGGGGAAAGTCATGGGTATGTACTATGCTCGCACTCTAAAGCCCTATGTACATGAAAGTTTACTTACAACCCCGAATCGATCTGATTCAGTACCACTTGGGAAGTGTAAGCATCCCAAGTGTCGCAAAGTTGGAACTGCTCATCTCCGAATGTCTGCTTCTGGATTTCCTCTGGTCTCTCCAGGATCTGCATGAAAAGCCCTCCACTAACGTGCCAAGCGAGATGGCAATGCAGAGGCCATGCACCTGGATTGTCCTGCACGAATTGCAGCACCAGGTACGAAGGCTCAACAGTGCCGGTGGTGTTTCGTGCATTCTGCATCTGATGGACATCGCGGCGCAGCGTGTTCTCCGGGTTTGTCACAACACCGTCCCACTCGCCGAAGCCTTCAGCCAGGATGTGGTAGTCATGGCCGTGCAAATGCATGGGATGGCCGCCAATGAGACCGTGGTTGACCATGTGGATGCGGACATGCTTCGCACCGGGGAATTGGTACACGTTCCATTCGGGGTCGAAGTCCGACTCATTACGCTTTGCTTTCAGGAGCGTTGGCTTGTTGTAGTTGCCGTGGTAGGTGCTGTTGTTGAGGTACCAGATAAAGTTGGTGCCATTGGAGCGGAAGTCAAAGTCCACACGTTCGACATGGTCAGGCTCTTCCAATGGTACCTTACACAGCGGGATACCCTGGGTGATGGGGTCGTTCTTGCATTGCTCAAGTTGTTCCTTCGTGACATCAGAGGTAGACTTGGGGATAGCGTCGGTACTGGCATCCTCGTAGTATACTGCCGCAAGAGCGTTGGGTGAGATGCCGTCGGTGAGTGTGCAGCGAAAGCCTTGAGCAAGTTGAGAGCGCATCCAGAAGGTATCGCTAGGCTTGCCGATAGCTTCGACCACAACATCAGTGCGCTGACCGACGGCAAGTGTGACGACGTTGGTCGTGTACGGCTTGACCGGGATGTAGTCTACGGCGATGACTTTTAGTCTGTGTCCGTCGATGCTGAACTTCTGGTTGCCTTCAGCGCCTGTGTTGATGAGGCGTAGTAGATGCTTCTTTCCGGACTGGAATTTGAACTTGGAGATGCCTGCATTAGGCGTGCAAGGCAAGGTCGTATTGGCACATGGGTAATTCATTCTTCCATTGATGAGGTTGTTGTTGGAGGGCGGGAATTGACCGTTCATAGTGCCTTCAACAAGGGTATAGTAGTCAGCGTGGAACCAATCCTCGAGAATGATGGGGCCGATGTCGATGTCGTAATCCTCGTGTTTCGGCCCATGTATGACCATGGGGCCGTGAGCGCCACCGGAGTATTGGGCACTGTAATGGCCTAAGGGAATTAGCTTTCGCGTATCTCAGTGTAGTACTGAAAAACTTACTGTGGTACCAAGACGTCCCGTAGCGGTCGGCCCGGAAAAGCATCTCATAGTAACCGCCGTTTGGAGTGATCGGGCATTGACTGACCGCAGGTACACCGTCATACCAGGTACTTTCTGTCTGGAAAAGGCCATGAGCATGAAGGGTAGTACCCTCATCAGTCAAATCATTCGTAACTCTCCACAGGATCCAATCACCCCTGATGCGGTCAGTTGAAGCATTACAATGTTGTAAAACCATTCATACCAGTTGGCTTCGATTAGAGGACCGGGGAATTGACCATTGACCGTGAGTCCGTTTCTGGTAATACCATCCGGAGCAATCGTTTGATAAGCCACGTGAAGATCGTATGTTCTTGTCACGCCAGTGTCAGGCATCGACGGACAAAGAAGATCAGCCTTTGGTTTGGAGGCCGCAGAAGCGATAGGCTCGAGCGTCCCGGTAGCAGTCGGTCCGAAAGTGGTAGACCCTGTGGCGTTTGCATAACCGTATGGATAACCAGATACTGTAGGTTGGAGAGAATGTGTTGATGGAAGCCTCGTTGGTTCAGATGTATATGCGCCATCGGGATTGTTGCCTGGGAGACCATTTACCGGGAGATAGGGAGAGTCGATCAAACCCCATTGTGAGTTACCACACTGTTCGACATTTGAAAGTGAGCTCTTCAGATGGTCGATGCCCTTGGGAACCCAGCACGGTTCTTTGTAGTCATGTTTGGCGGGCCCGCCGTATTCGTAAGGTGTCGAAGGCTGAGGAGGAGCGTACGCTTCTCCATGTGATGGCTTACCCGGCCACTCGAAAGGGAGAGGTACGTCGTTGTAGGGATTGTAGTATGGCCCACCATGTCCATGAGAGTTGGTCGTGGGTCGCGCTGTGGCGTATTCGGTGACTGTAGCTGTGATGACCTGGCAGATGGACGCGGTGCTGAACTCAGAAGGGGTGACTGCGTGGAGGACAGACGACAATGAAGCCGTAGCGGCGAAGTAAGGAGCGTAGGCTACCATGGTTGTAGCAACAAAAGTTGGCCGTATGATTATTCACGAGCGACCACAACAGGCTTGACTGCGCAAAGAAGGAACGACTGTGTTGAGAAGCAAGACACTGCATTTGAAGATATGCTGAAGGCCATGTTATATGGGATCCTATGACAGTATGCCAAATACCCAACGTTCTATGTTTGGCCGTGGGGCTTGAGAATACGATGAAGCGAGCTATGTGGCGGGAAAAAGTATGGGCCGTGAATCTGAATATGGTCGAGACACCCGAGGCGAGGCGAGGCGCAAGAAGCAATGCGCTGTAAGGCTTCCATTTGTGGATCAGGCAAGCAGTATAGCGAGTAGATCATGAGAGCTCAGCGTTACTTTTGAGCCCAACCCGTGTTCCCCTTGGCGTCGTTCGGGCACCGAGGCGGGAGAAGGAGATGAACTAAGCCACACAATGTTCGGCATCATCGACGTTGCGAAAAGATCTGCAGACGCAGCATCTGCGGCATACATGCCGTCGCCGTTTTCGCGTTTAAGGTTTTCCCGAAGATATACAGGTACGTGCCGGAACATGCCAAGCGACACGATTGTACATCATTAACGTATCCAGTGTGATGGTGGCATTGCCATACTTGTTTGCGAATCGGCTTCAAGAAATGTGGGACCACATGTGGTATCTGTGTAGCCTTATTCTGAATCAGCTACCATATTTCGATACCTCGAAATGCGGGACTCATAGCCTAGTCTTTTGTTGTTGTGAAGATTCGTATTTTGCTGCCGTGAGTGCCGTGTGCCTAGGTAGCCCAGAGACATGCTAAGCTCCCAAGATCGCGTAGAACCGTTCGCAATAGTGGCTTAGACGAAGCAGGCGACTGCATGTTCTCCTGGCCGTGTGGAGATGATGAAGAGAAGGCTGCGCTGTGGAACCTGAGGTCATTGGCAAAGTGGTGTTGAGGCGTCGGGATAAGCACTGGTTAGCGCTGACACCTCCCGCACACTTGGGCATGGCATCCGGCTAAAAAGGGGCCTGGCGCCGATCGCTAAAGACCACTTCTACTCCAGAATAATTCCAACTGAGGGCTGACAGTCGTTACTGGCGGTGTTGTGGCGACATAAGGAAGCTATGCAGCTAGATGTCGAATGCGTGTCTTTCCTACCCGTCGGATCACGACCATACCATGCTGTCTGTCAGTACCCACATCGCGACTACCACATTGCTCTCAAGATGGGAATACGGCAAAGAAGAACTTATACCTGACGCGCTACAGGCCGTTCATCGATAATGCAGCACATGGCACGAGTCATTGAGTGATATGTTGTTTGGCAAAAGAAACCTCATGGGCCAGGCTCAAGGCTTCTACCGCCACATCGTCAGCAGTCCTCGGGTACATCCTACCGAACTCAGAAGGGTACAAAAATTGCTGATAAGGTTTGAAAAGCTAATCCGACATGCGCAGCTAGTTTCGCGGTCTGTTTAGTATCGTTCGTCAATCTTGCGTGCAGATTTCAGGTCTTGACACCCGTTTACGACACATGCCCTGCGCCCATCATCTTCTGGCCAGGTCCCCGGATCTTTCTCTTCAGATGATCCAAAATAGTACCCTTGAACTTGTCCAGAGTCGTCGAACGCCTCTAATGGAGATTGTCGATGCATCGCCAGCAACTAGTGACACCGCACCCGACGCAGTGCATGACGAAATGTAGCCAATGAGCGCTGCAATCCTCACAGTTTCCCCCATTCATACGTTGCCAAATGTGCAAATGCTCAGCGGGCTCCGCCTCGGGAGCGGGGGCTGGCTGAGCGACAGGAGCAGGGCGAGTAAGAAAATTTTCATCCCACTGTGGACATCTGCACGTCTTCCACGGTAGGCCGCAAAGGTAGCAGAACTCGTGACCGCAACGGCAGCTCATGTGGAAACAACCCTGGGAAAGCTCAACCATATTCCTGCATTGGGCACATTGCTGCCACTTTGCCCGCTTCGCTGCATCCATGAGAAGCTGTACATGTGGGTCACTCGGACACAATCCGTCGTGTGCGCGGTGTTTGCACTGCACACAGGTCGTTTCGTTGCAGTCGACGCAGGTGCCTACATCGGCGCCTATGTCCTTGATTCGAATGAAGGCGGCGCAATCGGAGTTGGCGCAGTACGTGGGGTTCGGTGTAGCGAGCTCCTCTACTTTGAGGTCAAACTTTTTGACATATCCTTGAGGAAGCATGGTACGACAGACCTCAAGAGGTATTGGGATCTTGCAGCATTTGGGGGGAAATATCGAAACGTCGTCGAGAGCCATGGTGAAATGATCGAGGAGGCAGTTTCGGCAATAGCTATGAGCCACGGGCTCACACTCAAGCGTCAGAGTGTCTACGGTCGGTATGTTGTCGAGACACGCCTCACACAGGGTGAGGGGCTCTTCCGGGTCTGGTTCTGAGTCGTCTTCGGTTACTTCTTCTTCGGTATCGCTTGTCTCATCAGGATCGATTGACGCTTGCGAAGCGATTTCGTATGCGTGTATCTCTGCGTAGAGCTCCTTCGCACGAGCCCACTGCTCATTGGTACCGAGGCAGCGATCGTTCGCCAGGTTTGTAGCGTAAGTCGAGCTGAGTACGTACTCTGGGTCATCGGTGCTCAAGCCGGACAGAGTCAAAGCGAGCTGGTGGTCGGCAATGGCCTGCCTTTCTTCTTCGAGAAGTCTTTCGAATTCTGCGTCATTCTCACGCTCAGTTTCGGAGAGCTCGCGCGCCATCGCATCCGGGTCGAGGAGTATGCCGAGTGTTGGGGTAATTGGAGGATGTGTGTGTCGCGTCGCTGGAATTTCCAGAAAACTTTGTGGGCGCTGAGTCGGGTTGGTGATAATAACAACCTTGGAACGCTACTGCGTTTGTCTTCCAGATTGGGAAACCAGTGATTCCTCCGTCACCGGTGTAATAGCGCTGCCACAGCATCTTCGGCTAAGGGCTCCAACCTCTGTAGGCTACAATCAGGCTGCTGCATCGCGAAAAAGAAGTCGATATGACTACAAATATATTTAGCATTACAAGGAGAACGCCCCAACAGGGTCGCTGTAGTAGACCTTCTCATCCTTGGATAACGCCTTGGGCGGCTGTGTGCACAAGCCCGTATCTCATCCTAGATGTGGGAGGTAGTGGTGAGTTTGATAACATGAGCTAGATACGCTCAAGCTCTGAGTGAGGGGACATGCAGTGTCTTGTGAATACGGTGATAACCATATTTGCTGATCGAAGGTCTCTCGGAGCGTCGCTACCTAGGTACTGGGAACAATAATCATGCTGATCATCTGTTGAGACCAATGCTTGTTGTAGGCTTGATCCCTGACTGCGAGTATTATGCGACAAATTTTCGTGACATGAGACGGCGAAGAACGAGTTGCATTGTGAGTTTTGGCCGATGCGGCGCGCTGGCGATGACATCATCACCATCCTTAGGTGCGTACCAGCCTGGCGGCCTCTCTCTCCTGGCAACCATGATCCAACACCGCCTTTACCTACGCGCCTTCATCTCCTCAACGTTGGATATTTCATCCTTCAGACTCAGTCACTTTACCGCGATCCTTAACGGCGTAGACCGCAACCCCAGCAGCGATCATGCAGTTGGTGTTTCGTCTCGCCCCACCCCAACGTTTCAACATGCCGCGCGCAAAGCACATGAGCATGAGCGCGCATTTCTCCATGGCTCCATCCGCATACGGCGTAAAAGTCGACTCAGGGTATTATCCTGTGGCTATTTAGCCGTCTTGTCATTCTCCGACGAACATGTTCATATCCACACTCGAGCCGGTGTTGTTACCTCGACCCTGGGTTGGCAGACCCGCATTGTATCTTAAACTGCAGATTCTTGAGATTGCAGAGGATGCCATCATTAGATTCTGCAGCCATACCCTATCGCACCATCATCTCCGAGGGAAGGCAGGTGCCAAAGCAAGTACGATCAAGAAGTTGTTGCGATCCATCTTCTGCAAGCTCTGCTCCAGCCATCGCAATAAGCAGTTGCAATGCGTTAACAGCCACACCAATGTGCAGTTTGCTGCGCGGGACAGTAACGCCAACACTTTACAGAGGATGCCTCGGAGCCCCTGCAATGTGAAGGATTCTCGCCTCGTCCAATGTCAAAACAGCACTAAGCTCTACTCGGCTCGAACTCCAGGCACAGTGCATCTCCACCAATCAGCGCTCCACATGTCAAACCTGTCAGTCGTCGTTTGACCCATGGACCTGGTTCTGGTTCCCAAGAGTTCTGTTCTTGGCCTAGGTATCCATCCTTCGTTCATCTATCCGAGTGTGGCTGCAGACACATAGCGCCCCGGCGTCAGGTTCGAGATTGGACCGGTGGTAAACGAAACGGCTAGCTATGCAGCGTGCCACATATTCCTCGGCTTCACGGCTGGACTCATCTCCTGCGCTGGAGGATATAAGTCTTCGGGTCCGCCAGACTTGGAACAGTAACGCAGCTGCGCTGGACATTCTTTCACTACAGGACTTCGTCATTCATTCGTTCTTTCGCCTTTTCAGTCACTCTTTTGTCAACTTTTGACTTGTCACTCATTCCAAACATCACTACTCGCATCAATATATACAATATGAAGTCCGTAGCTGTCCTCCCCGCCATCCTGGCGCTGGCCAACGCCCACGCCACTTTCCAACAACTCTGGAAGAACGGAAAGGATCTTGAGAGCACCTGTGCCAGGCTGCCACCTTCCAACAGCCCCGTTGAGGACTACACAAGCACTGCGCTGCAATGTGAGTACCCCTCGAGCTCCCCCTTTGGATCTGTGCTGACATGAATCTAGGCAACGTTAGCCCTGCTCCCGCTGAGGGAAAGTGCGACTTTGAGGCTGGTGACACAGTCACTATCGAGATGCACCAGCACAACACCCGTGACTGCAAGGAGGAGGGTCTTGGTGGTGCTCACTGGGGTCCCGTCCTCGCATACATGTCCAAGGTTGAGGATGCTGCCACTGCCGATGGTTCCAGCGAGTTCTTCAAGGTTTACCAGAACACCTGGGCGAAGAACCCAGATGCCACCCAGGGCGACAACGACTTCTGGGGCACCAAGGACCTCAACTACAACTGTACGTACGGCATCATGTCCTCTGGAAACTACTGCTAACAATCCAATAGGCGGAAAGCTTGACTTCACCATCCCCAAGAACATCGCTCCTGGTGACTACCTCCTCCGTGCTGAGGCTATCGCCCTTCACGCTGCAGGCCCCGCTGGTGGCGCTCAGCATTACATGACCTGCTACCAGCTTACCGTCACCGGTAGCGGAACCCTCGAGCCCAAGGGTGTCACTTTCCCAGAGGCCTACTCCAAGACTGGTCCTGGTCTTGGTTTCTCCATCCACGCCGATCTCGACTCATACCCCGCCCCTGGCCCTGCTCTCATCGCTGGTGGTACTGAGGCTACCCCCGAGCTTCTCACATTCGGCGAGCTCGCTGGTGCCCCTGCTGCTACCGCTACCGGCGGTGCTGAGACTCCTGCTGCCTCCACCCCGGCCTCCGCTGTCGCCTCTTCCACTGCTGCTCCCGCTTCCACCAGCGCCGCTGCCGAGGCTGAGCCTACTTCGGTTGCCCCAGTTGAGGTCTCCTCTGCTGTTGAGAGCTCCGCTGCCGCAACCTCTGCCGCTGCCACCTCTGCCGCCGCTTCTTCTGCCGCTGCTCCTGAGGTCTCCAGCGTTGTCGCCCCCTACCCCGTAGCCAACAGCACCTCTTCGATGCTTCCTGGCACCGTCTCTAGCGCTATCGTTGCTCCTACCACCATGCTCACCGCTGTCCGCCCCACTCCTACCGCTGAGCCATCTGGTCCCATCAAGGAGTACTACCAGTGTGGTGGCCAGGGCTTCAAGGGTGACAACCAGTGCGCTGAGGGTCTTGAGTGCAAGGAGTGGAACCCATACTACTCCCAGTGCGTCAAGCCTGAGGCCAACAAGCCCGGTCCTTCCAAGGGTCCTATGCCCTCCGCTCCTGCCCCTAAGCCCACTGCCGTTGCCCCTAAGCCCACCGGCGCTGCCCCCAAGCCTACCCCCGAGGCTCCCAAGCCCTCTGCTGCTAAGCCCACCCCTGCCGCCCCGATCGAGGCTGAGCCCACCTCCGTCGCACCCGAGGCCGTTGAGCCCACCAAGCCTGCTGCTTCATCCGCACCCGCACCCTCAGCCGGTGCTGGTGAGAAGACCTACACCCTCGAGACCTTCATTGCTTTCCTTGAGCAGGAGGCTGGTAGCGAGTCTGCTGCCAAGATCCGCCGCATGATTGAGGCCCTTCAGTAGACAACTTCGCATCTTTTGCGATGTTCATCTTGTATATATACTTACCCTAGATGGGTGACTTCGATTCTTGTAGCGATGTTTTTGGAATGATACTTCTACTTCTTCATGATCATCACCCTGCTTTGTAGACTTTTCTATCATGTCTATTGCGTGCCTTCCTGTCTATCTATTGGACCGGGTACATACCGATGCAATCTATTGATGCTCTTGTGCTGTATACTCTCATCTGCAAGTTGCTGCGGCCAATTCGAAGCTGACTCACGTCCTGATAACGCGCCCACTCGGGGCTAGTCGCTTTCAAGAGATTAATGCCACTAGGTGCGGACGCAGCTCCTCCTGTCGCAGCTTGCAGTTTGCAGTATACATGATATTAAATACTGATAACTGGGCAGTGTACAAGATTATGTATCCTCCCAACCCGAATTATTTGTAGAATGCGATACGAGTTCCGCAGCATCCCGTAGAGGTTTCTGTTCCATCAAACATTGATGAGTGACAAGTCATGCGACAATGTATGCCTGAGAGCTGCTTGATCACCACAACGCCAGTCGTTCTCGTGTTGGTGTTGCCGTGGACATACCGCGTTTTGCATGTGCTCAGTCTTATCTCTCCTGTATTTTCATTAATCACAAGCGTCCTAACCCAGAAGACGTTGGAGCTGTTGGAACAGAAACCATTGCTTTTGATTCTATGACGCTATATCGCCCTCAAAAACCGTGAAAGTCAAACTTTTCTTGGTCAGTCGACCAGAACCCCAACCCATTCATGAAGCCCCTTCGATTCCTCAATAACAAGCGCGCTAATCCTCGTCTTGAACTTCAGAGATCTGCATCGGGGATTCAGTTGCCCCAGACTGACGCCCAGGCATTTGCCACGTGTAACGCCTTTCACAACAACGGAACTCCGTGATGAAGTAACGCAATTTCTCCAGCCCGGTTGCCTTGATAAAGTCCAACATGGTTGCGCCTTTCTCATCAGATGTGAGATCTGTGAAACAGGCGCAGCGTAATCCAATGATCATCGATGGCTGCTCATGAGCGCCGTGAGTGCCGTGAACCTTGCCCATGGTCAGAGTGACAGAGGCGATGTCACGCTCAACAACCTCGAGACCCTTTGGCGGTTGGGCCCAATGGTAAAACAAAGCAGCAAGCAGGTCGCTAGTCTTCCAACGGCTTTCGCCCCTACGCAAATGCTCGGTAAGCCAAGGAAGCGACTTCCGTTGCTTGGAAAGCTTTCTTAGAACCGGCAGAATGTCCAACCTCACGTCTGGAAGGATGGGTTGGTTTACGATGTCTGTGAGCGATTTTCCAAGAGCCAACGCGTTTTCTGTTGTGCCGAAAGCGTAAAGGTATTGGCCAAGATGCTGCGCTGAGATGGTGAGGGGTAGAGTTCTCTGTTGTAGAAGGCGGAACTCCTGACGCAATATCTGACAAGCCTGGGCAAGACCCCAGTATTTGCGCTGCCCATGCGCTGCTTTCCAGTATGTATCGAACTGGGACTGCCAGCTCTTGAGTTCGTCCATGAAGAGATGTAGCCGCCACTGAAGGCGAGCGGCCTTATTCAACTTGTTGTATCTTAGATAGATTCGGCCACCATCAAGTTGTTGCATTGTGTCCGCTAGGGCGAATTCGTAGATACGATTTCTAATCTCTATTCGGATGGTTAGTACCACCATCTCTTGAAATCAAGAACTTCATACCTCCAGGTAGGTTGAGAAGTGGAGACTTGTTGTTGACAACGTCTTTACGAGCCCGCTTAGGAGGGGAGCCCTTGAGATCAAGGAGTGCGTTGCCTTGGCGCTTTGATCTGTCAAGCGGTTAGTCTTGAAGCTGTTGAATCGGCAGTGGACGCCTACGCCATGGCTCTTGGGTTGCGACGTCTCGTTCAGAAATTTGGAATGGTTGAACGTATCGTGGTGGAGGTTGCAGCGATAGCAGCTTGTATTAATCAACTTCTCCTCGCTTATATGCTTGTTACTAGTTGGTGTGGCACGTGCGCATAGTCGGAAAGAAGGTAAAGGTGAAGGTAAAGGTGAGAGAAGATTAGTATGGTACTGCTGATATCACAAACCGGTGTGATGAACCGATTACCTGATACGAAACCGGGCACATCTTTTGGGCGGTAGGCGTGCGGAACTCCCAGTGATGTAGTTAAGTCTTAATACCTCCAGCCCGACAAGCCTTTACACAAACCATGTACGTGATAAGTGCGGACGTAAACTGGAACGCTGTTGTCGTCTCCAGCAGTGATCTTTGCAATTCTTGGAAATACCAGAGGAGAGTTTGTAGGCAAGAACGCGATAATTGATAGCAACACGCCGATGTCGTCAGTGGTGTCGCTTTCGCGCAGTCTGCGAGTGTTGGGCGGAGAAGTTAAGGACGGGAGTGTGATCATGTTGTTGTTGTGTAGGCAAGGCTTGTTAAAGGGTAGGCGTGGTACTGTTGTCACACGAGTGGGCGAAGCTCGCAGCTTCCCTCTGACGTTGGCAGCTGAAGACCCTTTCGCCCATGTTTGCGCGCGTGACGTCAACGGCGCCAGTAAGGAAGCGACTTCCAACATGCGTCGCGGAGATCACCATACTATGATGATATGCCGCAGGTCCCTCGAAGTATAATGCTGCAACCGACATAACATACCGTGGGGGTATTCACTATACTATCCATTTCTGTGCATTGATTCTCACGATAGTGTACGTCTCGAGAGTCATACGTGCATTGCTACGCTGTGAAACCCGCGCCAATCAAGGATTGCGGCTTCTACGACTACACGTTGCTAATCCAAATCTTTGGCCACCACAGATAACCTTCGCATTTTGACACTTGCCCTCCTTATTTTGCAGATGCGTCACAAATCTTCGCTACGAAGTAGCGCGACCGTGGGTGAGTATCCGTGCAAAGCAGCCGCATGAGAGCAGAACGTGAACCTCTTACCCCTCCAACGGAACTGCGTGACCAGCGTGTCGAGCTCTCCCAGCTCGAATCGATAGAGCAACTTCCTCATATGAGCTTCTATGATCTGTTGGGTCGGCGACACGAAGAAATTTGCATCCAAATCCATAACCAACATCAGATCCTCGTTTGGTCGGCTGTAACGTTCTGCCTCCCGGCTCTTAACGATAGTAATATTGGAGATCCCAGTTTTGGCTTTGGTAAGACCACCTGCATCCTTTTGGAACTCGCAACAAAGTACAGCCAGCAGAGTGTCTCGGTCCCAGTACCGCTGTCCACCGTACATTAGCCGAAATTTGTCCAGTCGCGGCTGTTTCAGTTCACCGAGCCTCTCCAAGAAAGGAAGCAAGTCCGCTCCATCGTCTGAAAGTGGAGTTTGCATGATGTTCGTAACAGCCTGACCGATGCTCTGTTCTTCCTCGTTGGATCCAAGCGCCAAAAGGTACTGGCCAACGTAAAGATCGATACAGAACCCGAGTTCGCTCATGTAGAGAGGTCGGAACTCTTCGCGCAGCATACGGCAGGCTTGAGTCAAACCGAAGTAAGGACGACGTTCGTGTGCGGCTGCCCATTGCTTTACGCTCTTGCAGCGCTTGCGAGATTTGATGGACGTGTACTTGAGGTGGATTGGCGCATCGTTGTCGAACGTGATATACAACTCTCCACGACTTTTCGGTTCTTTCGTAGTTGTGCCTTTCTTGTTCTCCTTCACATCTTCCATGATGTACTCGTAGATCCGGTTTCTCAATTCTGACCATCCGGTTAGCTAGACTCATGAAGCTCTTTTGATGATGTCGCCTACCTCCGGGAAGCTTCAAGAGCAGGGACTTATCGTTGATCACCTCTTTTTGAGCGCGCTTGCGGTGGGTGATTGTCGCAGCAGGACGTCCGGCATCAACGGCAGCCTCGAGCGCCCGCTTCGTTCCACTGAAAGGTCAGCGCAAGAGCGATACTAGGGTTCCTCAGTACTTACGCCATGTTCAGTCGCGTCGAAATGGGCCACTCGCGGGGGTCGATGGTGTAGTGGTGTAGTGGTGTAGTGGAGTAAGTTAGGATCTGGCAGAACTAATGCCTTAAGCTCCAAGATGCTTGGACCCGTCGCCTGCGTAATACGATGAAAGTGAGTGGTGATGGTGAGAAACTGCACAAGGATGATGGTGAAGATGCGCGCGTAACCTGATGCAATCGGGAAATAACCTGAGAGTTGCCATCGAAGTCTCCACGTTCAGATCTCATGCTGTAGGGTCGTATTCGCTAGTCTTCGTCTGGTGAAAAGGTTCCAGACGTCTCTTCAAGGATCCGTCTTTGAGAGTGAGGTAGCTTCGTCCAAGAGCAGCGCATTGCCACACCGTCTATCCCCACCCACGTGTTCAGGAAAGCTTGTCTCATCTGGCTGTATCGCGTTTTCTCTTGTAGAGGTCATGTTAACTGCGCAACGACATCAGCGCGCACATGCCGAGGGTGATAGCTGCAAGAGTAAGATGAGATAAATCTAATACATTAATGAAAGTAAACATTAACGTGCAACGTATTGCGGAGTATCATGAAAGCACAGTAAAGCCACCCCAGAACCACCATGGTCTAATCCCCAAACGCCATGCCATCGCTATAAGTATCGGAGCTAAGCTACAACTAGACCATCTCTCCTACAACCTGAACTTGGCGCTCATCTTCTTGGTAAACGCCATGTTGAACGCTTGCCTCTTCGTGGTCACAAAGCCATTGGGGACCAAGCTCGAGCAATCTTGGAGCTTGCTGGCGTCGCTGCCGATAACAGCGAATCGATCCCATGCGCTCGTGAAAGCGGTAGACCAGCTGTTAGCGTCTTCAGCAAAGTTAGACCAGGTGGTTGCTGTCTGCAAAGACTGTTAGTGCGGACCAGGTGAAGATATCAAGACAGTGAACACATACCTCTGAAGAGTTTGACATGAGAAGATCGCTTTGGAGACTGTATGGTGCCTTGCGGTCCTTGGTCTCTTGGTAGAAGGTGTTGTCGTATCGGAAAGGCGTCGAGTCAAGACCCTTTCCGGCTTGCGCTGGGTCGTCGTGGAACTGGACCGCCACACTGTGCGCACCCATGAGGGCAACGACATCATCGGATGAGAATCCCTTCGCCGCGAAGGCTCCCAAGATGCTCTCGAGGGTGCCACGGCTGCTGGGTACACTTCCGACAGGCGCGGCGTTTGAGCTGTCCTTGCGGCCAACCAGTGCTTGTACTCTGGGGCCGAGCGGGCACGCTGCGATTGCTTGTGCGCCGGCGAATTGGATCATGTCTGCTGCGCTGACTTGGTACTTGTCGCTCCAGTCCTTGAGCTTCGTGCAGATAGCGGAGAGACCGGCGTTCTCTGATCTTCCACACTCGTCTGTGAGAACGAGACTGCCGTCACAGCCATTGTTGATGCAGTCGTGGAAGGGGGCACGGAGGGCTTGGTGAGCATCTGCGCCACAGCCAGCAAAGTCGGCTTGGAGCTCGGTGGCGACATCAGACCAGACGGAAGGACAGCTAGAGCTTTGGCGAGGCCATAGGGAGAAGGCCGAAGTTGATGTCGCCGTAAGAGCAACGAGGGTGATGGCGGAGTAACGCATGTTGGAAAAGTAGCGAAGGTCCTTGGCGATAGGTTGTGTTGCTCAAAGATTCGACTTCAACGATCGCAATGATACCAGTATATGGAAATTTGGAAGAAGAAAGAAAGACGAAACCGTGCTGAACTGTTGAGCCTGACGAAACCAAACTCGAGAAACTCCAAAGAAATATATACCCAAACACCAACGTTCGCCGCTCTCAACGGCTGACCGTGAGATGGGTCGCGATCAAAATTAGACCGATGGTGATGACAGCCGTACCGACGCATCCGCGCAAAACTGTAGGAAATTCGATAAACACTAAACAGCGATCTTACCCACCGGCAATCTACAGTTCCTCACCCTCTGCATCTCTTGTATCCATTCTGACCGATTCGAGCCGTACCCACTTCTAAGATCTGACGATTCCGGTCCATGGCATTGGTGGATGGGGGTCGTGTAAGCCGTTGGCGGCCTCGCGCTACATGCGACTTCCTGCCTAGTATCGCGCACCGGAACACGTTCCCAGTTACTAATGTCGAGCTACAGCAAGGCCCGGACCCTGACAGGTGTGATAGACGTATCTTCAGCGCCGGCGCTGACAAGTGGCTTCAAGGTTTTCGCGGTCGTGGAATGTTGATCTTGGCGCTTTCGCTGTGTTGTTGTCGGTGCTCAAAATCCCCGACGTGAGATCGACAGCATCGGCACAAGGGTGATCCACAGAATGTTTCCAGAAGCAGTGCATTCGTCGCACAGTCTGCTCGGACCTCAGCATGGAGAGCCGAATTGGTTTTTTTCGTCGTCTCGTTTGGGCACGATGAGATTCTGAGTGCGTATCTAGTACCGTCAGGTCAGAAGGTCGTTGCTGACACGGCGAGGCATTTCGCGATAGTTTGACAAGACGTCAGGGCTCGCCCGCAGCGCGCTACTACACGGTTCCATAATTAGATTGGGTTCTACCAGCGATTCCATCCCGATTCCATCTCATGCAGGCCCTGCTCCTTCATACACAGATTCAGCCAGACCCTGGAGTAGAGTGATCTATTCCCAAGTATTCGGTACTGTCCTACCTGCGCAGACGCAGGCGAATGCGAGGCGTCCTGCCGGCAAAACCTTGGTGTTCCGGTCAGCGCTACCCCACTACCCACTCATTAGAGCTCCGATGCATGCAGGTTCTCGCTAGATGTCGGAATGGTTGAAGCGATGCAGATCGATGTGCGATCAAGCTTTTGTGGTGGCGGTAGCGTTGTGGAGCAACTGCATGTTCGTGTAGACATCTCGCTCGGTGATGTGTGCCGAGTCAAAGCCATCATCTTAGTCGGTGGGGACTGACCGGTATCTAGGTCGTTCACGAACGAGCGGAGGCGAAATGAGTTAGGATGCATTAGTTATCACCTGTATAAGCTTCCCAGGCGATGCACAATAGTCTAGCCCCGTAAGCACATCAGCAGACAGTGGTATTCTTTCCATTTCAGTTTGAAGAGGAGAATTTCTTTCGTACACGTAGGATCTTTACAGGCAGCCCATCGTTAGAGACTGACATCAACGCATCGTGCTAGACCTGTATACTACTCCTGGTCGACGATCAAAGATCGACTCGGATGTCCAGGTCACAACCCACAGCGCCTTCAGCTCGAACCGGTCAAGCCCTCTCCAGCTTGACCATTTCTTACTTCTTACCATTCTTGTTGTGCGTCAATTTTTGCCTCTTCGACGCTGCCGCTTCCTCTTTCGCACGAGGTACTTGCCACCCGTTTGCATCCACTTTCATTACGTCTTTGTCGATCTCGATTATCTCATGGTCTTTGATCTCATGAATCCGCCCCGCGGAACGGATTGCAGCTGTGGGGAACGAGGAAGGAAATCCCTCAGTCCAGGACTGCAATGCCGCCTTCGGGCCCGTCCTTTTACTCGTGAAGCCCATCTCTTTCTCTAGGGTCTCGACCTTCTTCTTCAGTAATTCGTTGCCTGCCTTGCACAAGAACATGCTCAGTTGCTTAGGAGCGAGCTGGCCGTCGAGCTTTTTCCCAATCAACTTCTCCGCGAGCCCCATGAGCAATTGGTCGTTGTCACCGCGGCACGACCTGACAAGCTCTGTCACTTGCTGCGAGCTCAGTGCAAGCCTACCAGCGTCCGTAATGAACTTGTCGGTCAGGTGCTGGACATACTCTGGCGCGTGTAGAGTGTGAACGCAGATGAAGCGGATGCACGTCTCGATCGAGAAGTTTGCTCCGGCAAGAGGCATCAGTGCGGGTGTGCACAGGGCGGTAAGCCACTGTGAGATCGCAACAAGAGCAGCTTCATGGATCTTGATCTGAGCTTCGCGCATCTTGCACTTCCCGGAGACGAGTTTTGCCTGGCCATTTCCACCTCGCAGCTGTACAGCGGGTACGTCGAAGGTGAAGTTGATTGCTGGTGCGCAAGGATGCTTGGCGAGGAAGGCAAGAGCGCTCTGAGATACAGCCATCAAAGCAAGACGAGGCGCTGATGCTACACGGCGGCCATAAATTGTAAAATCGATGAGCCCACCGCGCAGCAGGGAAAGGCGCATCATGGGTTCCCACTTGGTCACGTCGGCAGAATTGACCTGGAGCTGTCGCAAAAATAGGCGGACGTCCGCCTTCGAGAGTTGGGACATGGGTGCCATTTTCAGCGTGACCGATACGGTTGAGGAGTGTATCAAGTCGTGTTGCGTCGAGGTGGGTGGAAACCAGAATTTCAGTCAGATGGATTGTGATAGTAGTGAGCCGAATGGGCGTTGATTAACGACAACGCAAGAGCAGAGTGGTGTAGTTTGGTAACCGTGGGTAAGTCTCTCATTCACTTGGTACTGTGGTACTGGTCCTGGCCAATGACAGACCAGCGTGATGATGAGGGTCAACGAAGCCACTTTCTTGTGAGTTAGAAGCACCTGCTGTAGTATCGAGAACGGCGATGAACTCATCCACCATATCGGTCATTGTACGTTGTCCTCGGGCCACGTCCAGACGTCGAACTGGATGCTCTGCCCCGGAGTGCGAGCTGAAGCGCAGATGTTCGAGATTCCCACACTCCTTTAGAGCGTGTAATACTGACGACCAAGTGCCAGTCACAAGGCGAAGGTCGGAGAATACAGCTCGTCGCAATGTCGTAGACTGACTCCTAATAATAGCGACTAGGTCGTTTCCATGCAATGCGCAGAACATGAGCTGGAGTACTTCTAGCTTAAGGCAAGTGCAAGAAGCAACCATGTGGTGAACGATGGCTGCGGCATAGTTAGTCCGATCTAGACTCATCGTGAAGCTTTTCAACTTTGGTGCAGTGGCAACGATATTTCCGACCCCATTCTGCCAACCAGGTGTGCGAGAGAGGTCATCGTTTATAGACAAAGCAGAGAGAGTGAGAACCTTGAGGTGCGCAAAGCGATAGTGTAGTGTCCTCAGAGATTGCGTAGGTATTTGGAGTGCTGAGAATGGTAGGATGGCCTCTTTATGTAACGCAGTCCCACGCTTGCACTTGGCCATACGAAACTCGCTCAGACGGACCTCGCTGTTAACGATGGCGTCCATGACGACCTGAAAGCATCTACTACGAAATAGGCAATCGGTTGCGGAAAGCAGACTGCTGGATTCCGCGAGCTGGGATCCCCTCGGATGGAAGTGAATGGCCGTCAAGTTGGTGAAGCCTCGCAATGCTCGAACAAGGCCATCGTACAAGCGGGTTGGATACTCGCATTCCACGACATATGTGAATGTGGGTGCTTCGTCTTTGATATCTTTGTCTTGGATGCCAGGTACCCTGGGGAATCGTTTGGGTGGCGGAAACCTGCCGACACGGCTAATAGCAGCGAGGACACTATACTCCGCTGATGTCAGGAGCTGGATCTGTAGGACTTTGACAGAACCACGGAAATGAGGCGACTGCGCCAGGTTGACGAGACGGTTGAGAGAGGGTGGTCCAAGAGTAGTCTTTAGCCGGGAGAAAGCGCGTTCTACAAATACAGAATGGGTGAGGAAGCGACATCTTTTGGATGCAAGACGAAGGCTTTTGTGAGACGAGATATCGAGAGAGGCTGCAACGAGCTCGAAAAGCTCGACAGAAAGGCGTTCTAGGTGCGAAGTCATGATGGCATGCTGACTGGAAGCTGGGGCTGTGAATCAAGGATGTTGACGGGGACGGGTGAAGGGTGGCACATGCTGTCAGGGCCTAGCCCGGAGCTAAGAGCCCGTGATAGCGTCAACCCCGCGAGTCCAGGAGCAGCGCACGACCTCAACCCAGCGAGCGACGAGAAGCCACGCTCCTTCCGAGTGAACAGCACTCTCGTTCACCTTATCGGCTTCATCTACTCTTTTTCTTCCATCACGCTCCCCATCACGGTTGCATCGCCCGCGGGTGCCGAACACCGGCCACAACGCAGTGGAGCCCGACAAAGATTTGACACCATCGCACCTGCCGCCGACAGCTCAAACAACCACCATGGACTCGATGCGCAGCCTCAACAAGTCGCTGCCCAAGACAAGAGGGCAGCACGATGTGCACCAGTCCTTCCGCACCGCTGCCCTCAACGTGACGCACCTGTACAAGTCCGCGCTTGCCGACATCGACAGGGCCCGTACCGACGGCTACCAGGAGGCTCTCGATGAGCTGCTCACCTTCCTCGACAAGGAGAATATTGGTGTGGGCGACGGCGAGGGCTGGCGAATACGGCAGTGGGCCACGGAACGACTAGACGGGAGCTTGCCCAAGCAGACGAGCAGCGACAGCGACGACGAATACCTCGACAACAACCGCGCCAGAAGCTCATCACCCATCATGGACCGAACCCACGGCATGGACGACTCACGCACGCTGGCACCCACGACGGTCACGGAGACACGCTCTGACTCTGCGCCGCCCCTCCAGATGGAAGCTTCTACGACCGAGGCCGACATGTCGCCGCTACACCACATCTTCGAGTTCTCTGCCGCACAAGCTCTACCCTCTGATTCACCAAACGAAACTGCTGCCGCCGACATGTCAGCTGCCGCCCGCCGCGCTTTCCCTGCTTCTCGCCGCCCCACGAACCGCTCGTCTACCCGAAACCTCCAACGATCCGCCGCTCAGAACCTCTTCCAACTAGGAAACGGTGCAGGGCAAAAGAGACGACTCATGAACGACTTCTTCAACGTCGATGGCTTCAACGACCGGCGAGACGGCTCATCAGGTGGAGGATCCAAGCGCGGACGCATGTCATAGCACTGCAGCTCGAAGCCTGAGGACCTGTCATCGAACTCCAGGCAATGACACGAACGACTGTTCGACGAATCACGACTACTTGCATCATACCCAGACGGCGCACAGGGCTAGTGGATCATTTTTCATACGCATTGGGGGAGGCTTACTAGACGCATTCTGTGGTGTTATTGATTTCGGAGGCTATATACCTTTTCGCATTTTCTACGGGGTGGGACATCATTCGGGGGTGGAAGTAGATAGCGTTTTTTTGGAGGGTGTTAATACCATCATTACATGTCCTCAAATGTTGTATGCCATATGCGGTGACTCATCTCGTTCGTGAAGATGTGACCCCTAAACGCCGATGCATGCCCGAGTTTGTACTCGAGTCTTTCCACCTACAATACCTAGGTATACGTTCCAGGCTTGTGACCTTCAAGCGTCTCCTTGTATCCCTCCCATTATGCAAACCACCGATATAACCCCAGGCCCACCATGACGGCGCTTGTTCCTGTTATTGCCATTCCCCTACTCCGCATTCCGAACATGCTTTTGCTGGCTCGTATCGCGGCTTCGTTGGCTTTGATCTGTGAATGGCCCGAGACGTACGTGAAGGCGCCGAGGCCCAGAAATGTAGCGCTCCCTAACAACCATGTCAGTACTGAGGTAGATACAGTGTGTTCTAGAGTACAATACCGACTACGCGACATGGAGTGCAATCTTCAAATTCCGCTCTGTCATTCTTGAGAGCCTCTTTGAAGGTCGGCGCGGAAGGAGGTGGCAGTGCCATTATCGCGACGCTAGACAGACAGCCCAGCGACTAACTCAGATGCAAAACTCTGGCTCTATCTAGGTATCGTGTAAAGATCTTGTAACCAGAATTATGGATGACATGCTAGCCATGCAGGGATCTTTCTAGCTCCGGAAGCTCCCCGCCCAAACTGCCCCACGGCGCGGACCTCACGTCTTCCCACGCGCATGGCTCGCAGCTGACATTTTCCACCATGAGCGCCATCGAAGCTCTCTACATCTTTGATGAGCACAAGTAAGACTTGACTGTTCTGGCGATTACGTCATCCCTCTCTAACATCTTCAGCACTCCACTCCTCGAACACACATACCTCAACCGCCCGCCTCCATCCTCCGTCCTGCTACCTCTCTATCTCGCGCATCCCGCCCCCCGGCCACCGCTGATATATCTGCCCAACACCAACCCACCGACGCTACTATACAGCATAATACAAGATCAGCTTCTGTTCCTGTGCCCGGCATCAGCAGACACCGATCCCCTCGCCGTCCTCACCTTCCTCCACCGCCTGACCGACGTCCTCGAGGACTTCCTGGGGTCACCACTGCTGGCGAGCAAGATCGAGGGAAACTACGATGTCGTCGCACAACTACTCAGCGAGATGGTGGATGGCGGGATCATCGCGAATACAGAACCGAACGCGCTGAGAGATGTCGTGGAGGCGCCGAATCTACTCAAGAGTCTGCTGGGAGGAGTGGGACTGCCTTCTTCGACACCGAGCTCGCTCGCACCCTCTGCTACCGGAGCATTTGGTCTAGGCGGTGGAAGAGCAAGCCCACGATTGGGACCATCACCAACCTCAAGTCAGACAGGCTCACCGGTGCCATGGAGAAGAGCGAACGTCAGGCATACGAGCAATGAGATGTATGTGGATATTGTGGAAACACTAGAGGTCACCTTGTCACCATCTGGTCGCCCTCTAGCCGCGATGGCCAACGGTACGATCGCTTTCACGGCAAAGGTCTCCGGAATACCTGATCTCATACTACATTTGGGATGCGCGGGCGGCATACAGAACGCAGTCTCACTCCCTGTCTTCCATCCCTGTGTCAGACTCAACCAGTGGAAAGCGAGACCAGGTGAACTTTCCTTCGTACCGCCAGATGGTCGCTTCGTGCTCGCTGGGTACGAAGTGGATCTGCTGGGCTCTGCAGCACTAGATGCCTTCTCCACAGAGAAGAACGCGAAAACCTCAAGTCCAAAACTAAACATACCAGCTACAGTATCCGTCCACCCCTCCCTCGGCCCGACCGGCACAGACTTCGAAGTTAAACTCCAACTCAACCCACGCTTCAGCGGAAACAAGCCCTCCCAACCCAGCGCTGCGAAAGCTAGCCTGGGACGCGTATCCTCCTCGACAGGAACCACGTCCGCCCCTGCGATCGAAGAAATGACCATCCACATCCCGCTTCCAGCCTCCGTCAGGAACGTCGCGGATCTGCGCGTCGCGCGCGGAACAGGAGATGCAGGCTACGCGCCTGGAGACAGGGCAATAGAATGGCGCATTAGCAGTCGCGAGATAAGCAATCTCATGTCGCAAGACCGCGGAGGAGGGGTCGGTGCGACGGCTACATTGCGCGGAACTGTAATTGGGCAGGATGACCCGTCTGCGGAGGATGCCTTGGACGCCGGAGGGCCTGTATCGTTCGCGACGTCGACATACGATTACGATGATGATCAGGGCACACAGGTCACTTTACCTGCGCATTCTTCGTTGAGCGTAGCCAAGCCGGACAGTGATGCGAAGATCAAACAGGTAAACAAAGTCCTCATGCCGAGCTGCGCAACCATCAGCTTCTCCGTTAAAGGCTGGTTGCCGAGTGGGATCAAGGTGGAGAGTCTGAATGTAGACCAGAAGAAGAGTAAAGGTCTGGGCAGTGGTGTCACGCCGTACAAGGGCGTCAAGTATCTTTGTGTGAGTCGGAAGGGTGTAGAATGTAGATGTTAGAACATACACTCGGCTATGACGATGGAATCAAAGAGACAAACAACTTCCAACGAGACATGTTCATGCGTTTGCTGCACAATACGGGTCACGAATGCAAGGTGTTTGTGTCCATCGATGATATTACCAACTATAACTACCTGACATTCGTTGATGGCGTTGAAGATACGCCCAGACATCCTATACTGCGTTATCAATGAATCAAGCTTTCGCTCTATATACCCATTTTTTCCCGCTGTAGATGCAAAGAACTAAACAGCAGACAGTACTCTCGCTCGCTTGAACGCATTGGAATGCGCTCGCGTCGCCGAAGTCGTCAATCATCGGTCTTTTTTTCCACGGTGTACTCCATCCCTCCCTCCCGTACACCGCGTCATGTCACTAGGCTGACCTAGTGGAGAGTGGTGAACAATGCGTCACCCGGCGCAAGAGTAACCGGCTTGTTGCCAGGCGCTGGTGCAACAGGCGGATTGCGCGGTGCTGACTTGCCACGGTTTCCACCCTTGCCGCCGCTGCGGTCGTTGCTCCCACCACGAGCACTACCCTCAGGCGAATTCCAGGTCTTGCGTGGACGACCTCCAATCCGCTTCTCAATCTTCTCCACCTTCTCCTTCAGGGACTGATGCTTGGCCATCAGCTTCTCCAAATCGGCCGCGCCCTTGGCGTTGCCAACCTTCTTCTGGTTGACAAGGTTGTGGACCATGCAGTCGAAGACCGGGTCGTTTTCCGGGTACGCCAACTGGCAAAGAAGGTCCATGAACTCGAACGACACATCCTGGGCGCGGATGCGGTCGCAGAACTGCTTGGTAAACTGGGCCACGTACGTATTGTTGAGACCTAGGACGCGGGCAGCGCGGCAGATGTGGAGGTTCTTCTTATCGTACACCGTCTCAGTCTGGAGTCGGACAGAGTAGACCCTGCTCTGGTACGTCATCTCGTCCATCCACTTGAGATGCGCCGTCGCAGCATCGGCGTCCATGGAACCAGCGGGAAGGACCCAAGAGGTCGCATCGGGGTTGGCAGTGAAGTGCTTGTAAGCTTTGTTCGAGCACTGCATCAGAACGTACTTAGGAATACTAGCCAGCTTCGCCTCTCCAAGCTTGACAATAACCTCAGGACCGTTACCAAATACTACGCGCTGTCCGTGTGACATGTGACGGATGTCAGCCGAAGGGTTGAGTTCAGGCATAGCACCGGTCTTGTCACGCGCATGTCTAGACGAGTGGCCCCAGGGTGTGGTATGGCCGGTGAGCTCGGCAACGGGCGACGATACAGGTGGAATCTTCGCAGCAGCCGACGCGACTGGCTTCTTCCCGTATTTGGACATATCAATGCCAAATGTCAGGGTCTTGGGCTTCGGGGCCGGAGGGACAACCTTCAGTGTCTCCTTCGTCACGAAATTGGGGAATGCGGATGTGACGAGCGATGGGCCGCTGGTGTTCTTAGCCGTTTTGGTCTCCTCGGACTGCTTAGTGACCGCGGGTGCAGGGTTCTCGTCTTTGACCTCCTCAGTCATAGAAGCATCGACGATCTCGAAGCTATCAGAATCAGAAGCCACAGATGCGGCCTTCTTAGTCTTGGTCTCCGTCGCGGTAACGACACCAGTACCATTGGACTTTGTGCTCTCTGAGACTCCGTCCTTGGGTGCATCCTCGGTGGTCACCTCGTCGTTTGTGGGGACGGGGACGAGTGCGGCCGACTCTTGCTCGAGGCTGCTGATGGTGGCAGCCTTCTTTGCTTGCTCATGGTCGTCGATGGCCGAAGCCTTCTCTTCAAGCTCGGCCTTCATATGTTTCATCTGGCTGTCTTTATCTCCAGCCTCGCGCAGAAGCTCCTGGTTGTGAGCGAGCTGGTCACCATTCACCTTCTTGAGCTTCTCGATTTCGACATCTTTCTTTTGGATCTCCGTCTCGAGATCGCCAATGTGGGCGTCCTTGTCTTGGACTGCGCCTTCCAGCTCCGCGATGCGAAGCGTCTTGGTCTCGACCAGCGCGTCCAACTCCTTGACACGCTCCTCTTTGAGAGCAACAGTGGTCTCGAGAGTGGCGATCTTGGGATCTTGGCTCATGAACTCGGCGATGAATGTGTTATCGTCATCGTCCTCGTCGGCCCAGTTGGTCTTCTTGCCAGTGGCGGCCTTTGGGTAAAGACCGTTCGATGCGCCGTTGGTGGTCTGGCCGTTAGTCATACCCTTCAGTACCAGGCCCTTCTTCTGTTGAGGGTCCGGTTTCGACTTGGGCGGCGCCTCTGCAATCTTGGGGTTTGGAGACTCGGCGGACTTGATCTTACTGCCGCCAGCAGCCCAGAAGGAAGGAGCCGTCGCCATTTTGTGTGATCGCTTGACGAAAGGGTAGGAGTTGGGGGTTGGGTCGCGGCTCGTGAGGTGTGGGAGGCGGAGGTGAGGGCGAAGCTCGCTTGATAGACACAGATCGCCTAGGGAAGGCTCAAATTGCGCAAGGTCGACAGAAGATTTTGGCGGTCGGGGCTTCGGAACGCAAGAGCTGTAGCTGCGCAGTTGAGGAGCGAGTGTGGAGAGAGGAAGAAGAAAGGTGAGGGAGGGCGGATTATGTACTGGGGAGGGAGCGGCTAGCAAAATTGAGAGGTGCGTGTGAAGGCGGAAGTGTGCGAGGCGAGTCCAAGCTTTCCGTGGTGTTGAGGGTCGAGTGAAGACAACCTTGGAAGGAAAGAGCGCCACACGAGGGAAATTTCGACAGAGAGCAGGCGCAGTTGAGCTGTCAAAAGTTAAACCGAGTTTCACCGCACATGCAGACAAGCATTGTACCGCTTCCAAAGCCTTTCACAATTCCAGGCAAATCATGGTAGCGATGCGTTTACGTGCGCTGATATTTGAGATGACGAACCTCTGATAGGACGAAACCGCGGATAGACGAGTTTGCCATGTGCCTATCCGCTCCAAGGAAGTAGCCCTCGTCCAATCCCAAGATAATCACTACTGCGAGCCAATATACCCACTCATCCCCTCCGAGTGAAGGAGTGATAGCACATATACGCCTCCCGGTATGCACTCAGCCATGATGCCTCAACGACACTGTTTCCCTATGCACTCCAAGTCCAGATTTGATGGAAGTCAATCTTCACTCTCCATCTCTTTTCAGGGCGCCTATGTGTTCATTCACGCTTTCTTTCTCGTGAAAGCATCTTTCCCCTTCATTCGACATTACAGCGCGCTCGCTAGGTGAGGAGGAGAAGCCGGTATCGCCCGGGGCGTGGTTCACTGCAACGCGTGCCTGGATGTCTTCACTGCGAGATGTTGTCAGGGGAATCGAAGTAGTAATCTTAATTCATCTTTACAGTGGTGTTCACTCGTTGTGGAAGCTATGAGGCGCGAAGCGATGGGGCGGAAGACGCGTCGACGCGACAGCCCTGCGATCCCCGCATCCGAAGTCCGAACTCGTCAGCCAATGGGAGTTCAAGGAAGTCTACATACACCTACATCTCTCCTGCATCGATGGCATCTCTTTCTATAAGACTACATCATGTCTCGTCCCGTTTCTCAAGCCTTGCAGCGCTGCAACCCTTTCCGAGACCATCCTGACGGTCAAACCAGTCCGCCACCATGACGACTCAAGCCCGCAACCTCTTCCACCACCTACCTCCGCCAGCGGAATGCCTCGCGCTCTTCATCGCAACCCTCGAGATCGTCCCTTTCGGAATAACAGGTCTACGAAACCCTTCCTTCTTCGCTGATGGCTACGGTCTGCCCATCTCGGCCGAGTCCGACACATCGCCCGCATCCGCAAAACGCTCCAGCAATACCGAAAGCACCTACGACGAGGATCAGAATACCAAGAAAGCCCTGGTTGCAGCAATAGCAGCGCGCAACGTGCAGAACGGCGTCCTATTGGCAGTCTTTGGTCTGGTACTGCGAGACAGGAGGAGCTTGGGAGTTGCGGTCATGGCGGGCTTAGTCGCAACCGTCGCGGACACGGTGATTGTCAGCGCGTATGGAGCAAAGGACAAGATCGCGGGTCACTACGTTGGCATCTTCAACAGCTTGGCGATTGGGGGAAGTTTGTTATACTGGGGAAGGAACGACCCACTGTGGTGAAAGTTCGGTCGAAGGTGCACAGGGGCTGGAAGGAGAGAACGAGGCACGATGGCCCGGCGGCATGAAGCGAGGGTGTAGACATGAATCGCGGGGGTTTGCCTAGCGTCCAAGACAAACAGCCGCCATCCAGGCAGCAGTCCCTATCCTTATTCCTTCTTCTTTCATTCTTTTCATTCCGTTTCGTACTGACACCCGCTATGGCATGCAAGCACACCGTTCTACAACTAAATCCATCGCCCTTCGCAGAGTTAGCTGGATATGAACAGCCGGATGCCGCAGCACGCGCAGGAGCAGAAACGACAACTGGAAGAGCGCCGAAGGGTGTCAAGGATCATCCCATTGGAACATTTCCCGCTCCTCTAGTCCTACCTCACGACGAGCTCAACTATGATCCAGATTCTTTACCGCAGAGTACGAAGGAATGGCTGGACGAGGAGTGTAGGAATAAACTTTCAACGGCGCCAAAAAGGGATAAGTTGTATGCGGCGCAAGTGCCTGGGATCAGTCTTAAGGCGGACTTTATGAGGCACTGGGTAGTACCCACTGGTTGTGATGAAGTCAAAGGCGAGGGTAGCGCCAGACCATCTCCTCCATCTGCGGATCACTTCGTCGACTATCTCACCGCATTTTATCACGATGTGCCTGTTCGCCTCTTCCCCACGCCATTGACCTGGACATCATGGGGCTCCAATACCAAGTCCGCCAAGGGCTGTCGAAGTGCCGCTCTGCTGAAGTACATCGGTCTATCACATGGAGATCGTTGTACCAGAATCCGCGTCCGCCCTGCGCCAGACACCGCTTTCCCTGCTCAACTGAATCTAGACGACATCCTCGATGCAGCCATTTCAATCCTTCCCGACGACGCTTATGCAATGGTACTTCTAGTCGACCACGACATTTACGAGTCCGAAGATGACGACTTCTGCTGTGGCAGGGCGTATGGAGGCAGTAGAGTGGCTGTCGTGCAGACTGCGCGATATAATCCAATACTGGATGCACGAAAAGGAGAGGAGATCGACCGAAACCACATATGGCCGTGGAGTCATTGCAAAACCTTTGTCGATGAATTATGTGCTGTAGAGGATGTAAAGGCAAAACCTGCGACGAAGAAACAGAAAGAACTAAGCAAGAGTGGGGCGATGAAAGCGGCTACCCAGGCCGCGACAACATATAAGCCTACATCATCGGTGCAAGAAGTCCAGGCGCTTTGGTTCTCACGTCTCGCGCGTACCGTGTCACATGAGCTAGGACATTGTTTCGCGCTGGACCATTGTGTATACTATGCGTGTAATATGCAGGGTACAGGTAGCATGAAGGAAGATGTAAGACAACCGCCATATCTGTGCCCAGTATGCGAAGCAAAGGTAGCACACGCTATTGCTGGAAAGATGAAGGGTGGTCGCGAAGAGGAGAAGATAGAATGGATTAAGCAGAGGTGCGAGGCTTTGAGGCACTTCTGCCAGAAATTAGAAGATAAAGACATGGATAGCTCGATGTGGCAGGGCTTAAACGGGTGGTTGCAAGAAAGAATGGTAGCGTTATAATTCCGATGGCATCCCAATGCGTCCCAACCAATTTGTTCCAATCCACAACTCCGTACATCTGCAAGATACTCACGATTCATCATACTCCCGATTTTCGGAGCGGAGGTCTTGGTCATAGTACGTGTCATTGGCTGTCGCCTCAATGACACGTAAAACATCGGCTCAAGGAATTGAAGCAGTACACAAATGTTTCTTCTTACTCGTTTGGTTTTGGCGCGACGCAGCTATCTCTATGGAGTATTCCGTTCGCTGGAGAAAGAAAAGATCGTCGTGTGAGTTCCCGAGGACGTGGTTCAGCAAACCTAGACCGACCACCCAAGTTAGAGCCACGGCTTACGGATAATCCGTACTTGAATCTGAACGAATGAAGATTGCTCCAAGACATCCCGTCTGCATGGTGAGACGCGTGTTGTGGTTCAGTGATGTGTTTTGACCCACGCGGGAAGTGTACCCCTCATTGCCCCACCATGTCCCAACACATGCACCTACAGTGAGCAATTTATCCATACATGACCTCAGTCGACAGTATGAGAAGTAAGGTATAAGTAGCCGGCTCTAGCCGTAGTCTCGCACTGAGTCCTCAATCGTTCCTCAACTGTTCCCTATCACACACACTCAACTTTCACCAACCCAATACAACCCACTTTGGTACGATGCTATCATCGAACCAGCAAAGCGAAGCCTATTCGGCCTCGCTCTTCGCACACCAGAATTGCATCTCGGTCAAGTAACAGGTGCCCAGCATGGCATCATCAGGTACCCATCTCAACCATCAGAAGCAAAGCATGGCGGGTGTTCAAGTCATCAGCGACTCAAATCCCTTTACAGGATCTGATCGCTGATGGCTTGTTCTGAGATCATACCGTTCAAACTTGATCTGGATAATTCCAGCGCGAAGGACTATTGCTGCTTCATTATGACCCCTTCCCCGCTATGTTGGCGTACTGACTAGCTCAGCTTCTGCACCCAAGTCAAGATGTCGACTGATAAGATCACCTTCTTGACCAACTGGTGCGCTTTGCATCTTGATCAAACGGGGTGTATACTGATCGTGAACAGGCACGCTACGCCATACCACGCTCCTCTCTATCTTGCTCAGAGCAAGGGATACTTCAAGGATGAAGGCATCAAAGTCGCTCTCCTTGAGCCCAATGACCCCAGTGTATGGTCGATAGTAGCCGTTTGACCACATGAGCTTACCATAATAGGACGTCACCGAGATCATTGGATCTGGAAAGGTCGATCTCGGCTTCAAGGCCATGATCCATACTCTTGCTGCTGCTGCCCGTGGCTTCCCGGTTCAGTCAGTCGGCTCTCTGCTCAACGAGCCGTTCACTGGCGTCGTGTACCTGACGTCTTCCGGTATCACTCCCGACTTCACCACCCTCAAGGGCAAGAAGATCGGCTACGTCGGCGAGTTTGGCAAGATCCAGCTCGACGAGCTCACGGCACACTACGGCATGTCGCCTGACGACTACCAGGCCGTCCGTGTTGGCATGAACGTGACCCGTTCCATCATCACCGGCGAAATCGACGCCGGCGTCGGTCTCGAAAACGTCCAGATGGTCGAGCTTGAAGAGTGGCTCGTGAGCCAGAACCGCTCGCGTGACGAAGTGAAGATGCTGCGCATCGATGAGCTCGCTCAACTCGGCTGCTGCTGCTTCTGCAGCATCCTCTACATCGGTAACAACACTTTCATAGAGGAAAACCCTGAGAAAGTCCGCGCCTTTCTTCGCGCATGCAAGCGCGCGACCGACTTCGTCCTCGCATCTCCTGATCAAGCCTGGAAGGAGTTCTGCAACTTCAAGTCGGCCATGAACACGCCTACCAACCGCAAGATCTTTGAGCGTAGCTTTGCGTACTTCAGTCCCGACCTTCAGAATGTTCAGCGCGATTGGGAGAAGGTTACCCGCTACGGCAAGAGGCTCGGTGTGTTGGACGACAGTTTCAAGCCCAACTACACGAACGAGTACTTGGCTTGGGGTCTGGAGGAGGAAGCTGACGACCCTACTGGCGATCAGAAGAGGATGGTCGAACTGCAGGAGGGTGTGAAGCAGCATGGAGGATTCAAGCGTCTCGAAACCATGTCTGGCAAGACCGTTGTTGGCGCTGCTGCCCCCGCCGTTTGATTCGTCCCCGGGCACTTGTATTTGGAGATGCAATCATTAGCTCCATCTTAACGCGTCGGAGATCTTTGGGCTGCTGTTCTATTGCTAGCATAATCTCGAAATGAACAATGAAATTGTCACTCGCTCAAAGATCTCTTTACTGCCCATTGTGCGTAGCTTCTGTGATGCTAGTGACGAACAGCCTACGTCATTTACCAGGGCTCATGCTCATCACAACCAGAGGGTTTCTGACTTAATCAGCGGCCAGACGCCCATCTCCCGCCACTGGTGAGATAAGTGAATGGCCATGCACAGGCCCGAGCCGTTCACAATCACGCCATATGATCCGCATATGTCGGGTGTAAAGTACGCAGAGAATTGCAAAGACTACGTCGATGTGCGAGTTGGAATATGTTTTTCAGAAGTCGGGCAGGAACGGCTCCGGGGGCTCTTGCTCACGAGTGCGCAGTCACAATCACGCGCCATTCTCGATTGCGCGGTAAGCTTCCCAAGGTCGTCTCACGTTCAGTCGCCACCCAGTGGCTTTACGCTCACAACATATCACAGCTACTAAATTTCTAAATGCGTCTCGCATCTCTTCCTAGGCGCAAGCATCGCTAAAGCAGGTACTACTATCGCAGATTTAAATAAGCTCGCGTCTATTACAACCTACACCCTACTAGTAACTATAAGTAATAGGAGATTTTTCTAGTTATCTAGACGTTTACTCTAGACAAAGGCCTCTATTACCTATCTACGTAGGAAGCTAGTACAATATACCTCATTTCTCTCACTTGAAACACTTGGATCGTGATGAATGAAACCTCGTCGTCTTTTCAGCTCCATCCTTCCTAAACCATTGCAACAACATCTTTCGTCGATTCCTACTTGTCTCCATCATTACTATCTACTAACACAATTCCAACGCAACACGGAACAGCCAACAAGAAAAGCCAACAAGAAAAGCCAACGAGAAAAGCCAACGAGAAAAGCCAACAAGATTCCGAACATCGAAAAGGAGATGGCCGCTTCCTACACAGATACGAAGGACTACTACGTAAGATTCATTCAACACGTTACGCTTGGGATCAACACTAATGCGAACAGCTGGAGGAGGACCTCAAGGACTACGTCTTTTCTGATGCCTCTAAACGCATGCTTGTCGCCGAAGACTCTAACACAGGCAACGAGGTCTGGATGGCTGTTCACATCAACAAGATGCCAACAAAGCATAAGTTCAAATTGAAGCCATCCTATTACAACTCTCCGAACAAGGACAAGCAGCCCAACGTAGTCGAGGCAAAGGAAATCAACAAGGACCATTTGTTCGACGGACTGCCGAGAAACAAATGGTGAATTCAGACCGCGCTCGCGATCTATAAGCATAAATACCGAGACTACCTTTCGGAAGAGCTCGTAAGAGAGCAGAACAAACTGAAGAGCAAGCGAGCCAAGCCAGTCAGGATCAACAAACCGCAGTTCAAGAGCATCAAGAGCATTAAGAGCACCAAGAGCATTAAGAGCACCAAGAGCATTAAGAGCACCAAGAGCATCAAGCACACCGAGGGCAAAACCGTCAACGAGCAACAGCCCAACGTCAAGACCATCGACCTGCAAGGGACGTTCTTCGCCTTCGAAAAGAACTTGTCCGCAGGCGAGTACAAGCTCATCGGAGCCGAGATGGCCAACACACTCAGCCTCAAGACCGCACCTCCAACACGTGTGCTCTCAGAGATGAGGGACTTTGCGAGACTCACCGGATACAGTGTTTGCTATGCGCCTTCCTGGGGTCAGTGGTTGGAGGATACGCGACAAGAGCTTCCCGAGCCAGCTGCTGTTGATGCCAAGGCAACGAACAAGGAAGAAGATGAGGCAAGGGAGCCCATGGATCTAGTGTCCATTGCCGATTCCTTTGCCGATATCCCGAGCGGCTTTCGACTAAGGCTCCTGGACCCCATGCCCGCTGACATGATCGCGGGCATCGAAAAGGTGACAGCATATTTTGAGATGAGAGCGAAAGAACTTGCAGCCGGTGCTTGAGGGCAACAGGACAAACGGAACATGAGGCCACGGCACGCTCTTGGCGACGATGATCTATCTTGCATTCATACTAAGGTAGGGTCCAACAGGACGTCAACGGAACTTGCATAGTAAGGGAGGCAGGAAAAGCGTGTCATATTTTTCTACTTATCATCAAGTCTTTACCAGACTCACCATGAAGCTTTTTGGAGAATATAGTCAATTTGATGTCAGCTTGACGCGGCGATGACACAGCTTCTTCTCCATTGTGGTTTGCTCTCGATTCCAAGAGACTCCGCTTGACTTCTTGGACGCAACAGATATGCCTAACTACTATGCTTAATCACAGCCAAAGCGACCGCGTTCCCCGCGTATCGATCCCTACGCTACGCATTCGTGCACCTTGTCCGTTGTTGTCACACATCTTGCCCGACAGCATATTGGCTAAGCCGGATTGATTAGCTGTCGGGGTATGAGCCACCGATTAGTCTTCGTGCGTTGATGTGAACAGGATTAAAAAGTCCAGTCTAAGGGCATAGCGATTTTGCATGAATGACATCGTCATAGTGAAACCGATCAGACTGGGACATAGTTTACACTCATTATATTATACTACATACACAGTGCTCAGCACCAGACCAAGAGGAAAGAGGACATCGAAAGCCAACCATACCGGCTCCGATCCATGGAAAACCAATCCTCAAACGCCAAAGTATGCAGTTAAACCGTAAGCGGCCGTTGATTCCCGCGCCTTGATAAACACCAGTCAGGCCCGTGTAGGGCCTTGACATGCGACCGTACTCCCATCCTCTGCCATTACTCTTCCATTTTGTCGTTGTCCTTGTTTGCCTCCTTCGCAGGCTCCTTCAAGAACTGCGCGCGGAAATCCGCGTTGCTCTTCGGCTCGCCGTTTGTTGTTGTAGCACCTTTCGGTATAGCTGGGCGACCAAGACCGGGCTTTCCTCGTCCTCGTCCACCGCGAGCAGTAGTAGGTCGGTTGACACGGTTTGGCTGGATGAAGCTGTTGCTCGCCTTCCACTCTCCCTTCTGCTTGTTGAGGTCCTGGACTGTACCGATGCGCAGTTTCCTTCCCTCGAAATCTTTGCCCTCAAGCGCAAACTGAGCCTTGCCAGCACCTTCCACGGTTGTGAACTCAATGATCGCACCACCATGATGGGGTTCGAGCTTGATCCTCTTGAAGCCGTACTGTTCGACAAGCGGTTTGATGCGCACGTCAGGCACAGTGTCAGGCAGGTTGAGGATTGCAATGGATCGGTCCATAAAGGATGCGGGCTTGATAGCGGTTTCAGGGGCAGCGTTGCTCTGTCCAGGAGTACCTTCGCGAACGGCTGCGTTATCCGTGTTATCGAGGGTTGATTGCACCTTTGGCTTCGTGTCAGGTCGCTCTTTTGCAATCTCGACATTAATCTTCATGCCGGCAAACTCTTTGTCATGCATTTCTGCCACTGCAGCTTCAGCGCTATCCTTGTTATCGTAAACGACATAACAGTAACCGCGGTTGTTGCCAGTCGACCTGATAGTTGGGCACTTGGTGCTCTCAATCTTGCCGAACTTGGAGAAGACGTCCCTAACTTCTCGTTCTTTAAGCTTGAAGTTGAGATGCCAGATGTAGACTTCGCGACCCTCGGAGGTAGCGCCATCGCGTTTCTTCTTGGCCTTGGGGTCGGAGATCTTTGAGATTAGCTTCAACCCTTCAATGTCAGTGTCGTTCAGCTGTGTCGCAGCGACCGCTTGTTCAGCTGAAGCAAACTGAACGTAGCAGAATCGGCGATGCGCATCGTACTTGAGTGAAGGGAAGCGAATGCCGATAATTTCTCCGAATGGGCTATAGAGGTTCCGGATCCAGGCTTCGTCGGCATGCGCAGGGTAGTTTGCGACGTATAGTGTCGTGCCTTGGCCTCGCTCGATCGATATGTTGTGACCTTCGAATCCTTTCGCCTCTTTGCTCAGAGCATATTGGGCTTCTTCGGGTGACTCAAACTCCACCACAGCCGTGAGACTATCCTTCTCCTCTTTCAGTACTAGATTGCGGACTGTGCCTGCGTCGGTAAAGAACTGGCGTATTCGAGTCTGTGTAGTGTTGAGTGGTAGCTTCTTCACGATGACTGTAGTGTGCTCGCGATCTCGTTTCGGTCCTGTAGAGCGAGCTTCCGAGGGTGCTTCGCTCGCGACTCTGGCTTGACCGTTGACCCCGTCAAGAGCCTCTGAGATCTCTACGTGCTTGCTCTTCTTCAATACTGCATCCTCGTCACCGTCCTCTCGTTTCCGCTTCGTCGAGCTGTCTCCGACTTGGCTATCTGGCGTGTCTTGTGGCGGAGCTGCAGCGGCCGCAAGTGCTCGCTCTTTCTCCCTCCGGACGGACACGATGCGCTCAGCTCGTCGTCGCTCAATCGTCGCGCTGCGTACCTTTAACGCCGATTCGTGCTGCTCGCAATGGCTAATGTACATGTCGATGAGCAGCTCTGGTTGATCAATTGTTTGTAAGCGCTTCATACCACGTTCCAAAATGGCAGTGGCCTGGGTAGGCGGCAATAACGGTTGACCTGCATTTTGCTTGCCCCTCGTTGCGTGTGGCGCCCACAGGAGCATCTCGAATATGTAGCAGCGATACCAGAAGTCGTAAGAGTCCTCCTGGTACTTGGTGATAGAGTCCTGAATCTGCCGGGCTTGATCGATGTCACCGCGTTGGAGCCAGAACTTGATGTGGGCGCGCTCAAGACGGTACTTCCGGTCCGTCCATTCTCTGCCATGCTTCTTCATGCCGACCTCTCGGACAAACTCCAAAGCCGATCGAATTCCGACCTCGGCAACATCAACATCATCCTCCGTTGCTCTGGGGTCATCGAAAGCCCTTCGCCGAAGATATCCACACCAGGCGAGCTGAACCTTGATGAGTTCATCCAAGTCAGTGTGCTCCAGAAGTCCAGACCCAGTGGCTGTGTGCTTGACAAGTTCAAGGTCCTCGAATGGCTTGTTTTCCGCTTCGAGTGTCAATAACCGGTGGGACCAGAGTGACCCGGACCATGGGCAATGGCGTGTCGCGCGCTCGAGAACGTTGAGTAAATCTACCGACCGGTTATCTTGCCAAACGAGAAACTCAACGTGGTCTTCCCATATGGAAGGATCAACGGGAAATCGGAGCGTGGCTCGCTCATAAAGTGCGTTGACGAGATGGAAGCTGTAGACACCCATAGTCCTCTTCTCCCATTTCAAGTAGCGTGTCATGGCGGTGTACTCTGCAGCCTGGTCGCCTGCTTGGATAGCCTGCAGGAGTTTGAACTCGTACTCTTCGCGGTTGGCGTATTGCTGCTTGATGTGTGTATTCTTTTGCACCACTTCATCCATAACCTGCTCGTAGTGGCTTTGATTGTAGCGAGAATTGAAAGAAGAGTATCTGCTAAGGGTGTTCGCCCATGTTGCATGTGGTTGGCCGAGGCGGTCGTTGTAGATGGCGGCTACCCTCTTCGCCTTCTCTTGGCTGAAGCCTCCTCGCTCGAGGTCTTCTTCCAAAACCTGCAGGTAGCGGTCCCAGACGAGATTGCTCTCTTGGAGGTTGTACTTGACTCTCTCAGCACCTTCTTGCAGCGCGTCCAGTAGCAGTTGGGGTTGGAAGAGCTCTCGACCAATAAGCCTCTCCTCTTCAGACCACTCCTCTGGGGGTACTTGCTCCCAAGAGCAGGCGACCAGGTAGCTCACATACTCGCCGTATGCTGCCCAAAGCTTTGCGCTGTAAGGTTCCTCTTGTGTTGCCTGCTTGTGCAGTTCGAGCACACCCATGCGCTGCTCCACATCCTTGGCCAGAGTCTTCTCGTCGTTCAGCCGGTAATGCCACAAGAGCTCGCCAAGCGGATACTTGTCTGACATGGTTTTGTAGGCATCGCGCAGAGTCTGGACCAACTCGTACGCATTTGGGTCGTACGCGTTTGGGTCGGAGTCGAACGAAGCGAGGTGTTTTTGGAGCCCTTGGTGTAGAATGGTGACGAGCGAAACATGGCTGTAGTAGTCGAATGGGTTTTCCAGCAGCGTTTTATCGAGTTGGTTGAGCCAGTCGATGTGCTGTTGGTCGAGAGAGCGAGTGATGAAATTGCGCGGTCGCGGTGAGGCCTCGGACATGATGCTAGCTACGGACTCGCCGGAGAGGTTTTGTCCGAGGTGTTGCAGTCTGGCAAGTGGTCAGTGTTTGGTGGTGGAGTTTGCGCGACAAAACTAGGCTGCCGGAACGGGCTACAGCAACCCGTGATCACGGGCAAGCGCGACACCCGGACGTCACTGCCTGCCCCACAAAACACAAAGCGCGCTACTTGTGGACATGCAGGTGCAGTCGTCGGCTCAGAAATGGGGCGGACGAGAAAAATCAGCAAAGATGAAGAACTTACGTGACAGGCCGTTGGTGGACTACAGAGTTCTGGCGCGCAGCTTGTTGTTGCTGCATGCTGGCAAGGTCTGAAAGTTGTTAGCAGATTCCCTGGGAGCTAGCGACCCATCGTCGTTTGTCGTAGCTCTTTCCTCCCTGCATCTGAGCTGCGGCTCCCTCATATGGGGGCCGTCTACAGCACTGTGCCACTACCCCAAAGAAAGCGGGCACGTACCTGCAAGAGTGTCCATGCCCGGTGTGGATGTTTGACGGTACATGGGGTTCGGGGTCGTCATGCGCGCGTCATGCGGCGATGCTATTTGTTGTGGCGTTCCCATTGTGCTGTGTACTCCTCTTGCGCCGTTCGCGATGTTGGCGTATCCCGGGGACGGCACACGCTGTTGGAGCGTCTGGGGCGGCTGCGGGGAGGACCTGATCTGTTGGCTTAGGCCCGAAGGTGTTCGCGATGGCATCTGGCGTCTTGTGCGCTTGCCCGGGGATCGGAGTAGTGACGGCGACGGGATGGTAGGGGCGGCTTGTGGTGTTGGGGTGCCCGCAGGCGAGTCCGACGGCGATAATAGCGAGTTGATATCCATGGTGTACAGCGTTCACGACCTTTTGCCCTCGTTTGGCACGCACTGCGATC